ATCGTAGTGATGCCGCGAGACGATGCAGTTTCTTGTCTCATCTCGTCTCATCTCTTCTCTTCTCGTCTCATCAGATGCGACAAGAAACTGCATTTTGTGGTCTTGTCTCGTACAGACGAGACGAGAAACTCCATCTTCTCGTCTCGTTTCGTGCAGACGAGACGAGAAACTGCATTTTGTGGTCTTGTCTCGTGCAGACGAGACAAGAAACTGCATCTTCTCATCTCGTCTCGTGCAGACGAGACAAGAAACTGCATCTTCTCGGCACGTCTCGTGCAGACGAGACGAGAAACTGCATCTTCTCGTCACATGCAAACGAGACAAGAAACTGCATCTTCTCGTCTCGTGCAGACGAGACAAGAAACTGCATCTTCTCGTCTTGTCTCGCGCAAACGAGACAAGAAACTGCATCTTCTCGTCTCGTCTCGTGCAGACGAGACGAGAAACTGCATTTTGTGGTCTTGTCTCGTGCAGACGAGACAAGAAACTGCATCTTCTCGTCTCGTCTCGCTGTCAGAAATCATTGTCTCGTCTCGTATCGAAACACGAGAGCAATTTCTTCTCTCGTCTCGTCGAGAATCGAGAGATTCTCTCGTCTCGTCTTGTCTCGTTTCGTGTCGTCTCGTCTCTATAATCCAATTTGCACGAAAAAAAATACACAGAGCGGCAGAGAGGGGGAGGAGGCGGGGCTCTCGACCCTCGTCTCGCCGCTCGTTTCTCTCGTTCTCGGCCGGCTTTCCTCGTCTCGTCTCGTTTCTGTCATTGTCTCCAATGACTCTCCTCGTCTCGTCTCATTTGTCTCGCGTCCCGCGGTATCACTATTCAATCGTCAGTATCTCCTGACACAATGATTAGATTTTTACGAGTCACGGCTCATTTCAAAGCTTGAAAAAATATCTTGAAAATGAAAAAAAAAAGTATAGAAATTTCACGCAGCCGTTTTACAGATGCTCCATTTAAGTACATTCTCCCCTGCACATATTTCGACTCGAGAATTGGTGTGTCTGACGACAAGTCTGGGATTTGGGGTTTAAAAACTTGTTTAGCCAGAGATTTCGTAGAGTAATGGAGCAAAGAAGGCTGTCAACCACTCTACTGAACCGGAAATCGCACTTCCACGGTTCATTTGCCTCCCCCACGATTTATCCCTGACTTCGAAGCGATTCGATTTTTGGTGAAATCAGAGTCCCCCTGAAACTCAACTCTTTCCATCCGTTCTTATCCATTATTTAGAGGAATAGTACATTTGTCAACGGATGTTTTCCAAAATACAACGTAACTTCAGTGAAAACAGACGAATGTAAATTAATTCCGAGTGTAAATTGATAATGTTAAAAAAGAAATTATCATTTTCAAAAAATTCATTTCCACCCCAAAATTATTCTGAAATACTACAAAATTCAATTTTCAAATAAACAAACGAGAAAATAACTCTAAAAATGCACTGAAATTCAAGGAAATTCCCCATCTAATTGGAATATCAAATTGAAAAATGAAACCGGTTCCATTTCCATTGAAAAAAAATTTAAAAATGAATTATCACTTCCAAAAAATCCATTCCACTCCAAAAATATTCTAAAACACAACAAAATCCAATTTATAAACAAACGGACGAGAAAAAACCCTAAAAATCCACTGGAATTCAAGAAAATTCCCCATCTAACTTGGAATTTCAAATTAAAAAATAAAATGGGTTTCATTTCCATTCAAAAAAATTTTTAAAAAAGAATTATCACTTCCAAAAAATTCATATCACCCCAAAATTATTCTGAAACACATCAGAATCCAGTTTTCAAACAAACAAACCAAAAAAAACCCTAAGAATCCACTGGAGCTCAAGAAAATTCCCCATCTAACTTGGAATTTCAAATTAAAAAATAAAATGGGTTTCATTTCCATTCAAAAAAATTTTTAAAAAAGAATTATCACTTCCAAAAAATTCATATCACCCCAAAATTATTCTGAAACACATCAGAATCCAGTTTTCAAACAAACAAACCAAAAAAAACCCTAAGAATCCACTGGAGCTCAAGAAAATTCCCCATCTAACTTGGAATTTCAAATTAAAAAATAAAATGGGTTTCATTTCCATTCAAAAAAATTTTTAAAAAAGAATTATCACTTCCAAAAAATTCATATCACCCCAAAATTATTCTGAAACACATCAGAATCCAGTTTTCAAACAAACAAACCAAAAAAAACCCTAAGAATCCACTGGAGCTCAAGAAAATTCCCCATCTAACTTGGAATTTCAAATTAAAAAATAAAATGGGTTTCATTTCCATTCAAAAAAATTTTTAAAAAAGAATTATCACTTCCAAAAAATTCATATCACCCCAAAATTATTCTGAAACACAACAGAATCCAGTTTTCAAACAAACAAACGAGAAAAAAACCCTAAGAATCCACTGGAGCTCAAGAAAATTCCCCATCCAAATTGGAATTTCAAATTGAAAAATGAAATAGACGCAAGAAGGTGAAGAAAAAAAAAATTAAGCACTCGACTTCCGGTCGATCTCGCTGGTCGTGTTGATGGCTCGATAGCACTCGATGCCACCTACGTGGGATTGGCAATGCCGGTAGTGGGGTCAGCAGGGCAGTACGGTTATTTCGGTACGCCCGTCTACTGTGAGAGATCGTCCTTTGAGTGTCTTTCTCTCAGGCACACTGGTCGGTTGAGTGTTAACTCATCTATTACTGTAACTAACACGTGAACCGAGGAATCACCCAAATAACAATGTCACATGTGCATGTGGAGGTGCATTTACCGTTATTTAGTCATTGATTTTTCTATCAAATGGTTTACAGAATGGGCTTTACATTGAATGAAATGGATTATCCACCTGTGGAAAAACCGATGAAATGAATTTACGAGATTATTTTATGGAGGAGGAGCGAATTGAATGCGTTCTCATTGTTTCACGTCTCCACGTGAAACGTTATAAAGTGCCATTTTTTGTTTCGCCGGAATTATCGGGGGAATGAGGGGGTTTAGGGGGAAATGCCAAATTACATTTTTTGTTGGAAATTTAATTCTCTACAAAAAAGGTCTAGTGACATTTTCCTCTAAAGCCACGGGTTTCAGAGATATTCATCAGAAACTCAACACAGAAATTCTTCATTCGTCCAAATTTACAGAAAAATCTCAACAGACATTTATAGAAAATAAATTGATTTCCCTGTCAAAAATATGTGGACATTTTCACCCAAACCTGCTCCTTCCAATAAAAAAAACTCCCTCAACTGAATAATTTTATCTCCTAAAGCAATAAATTCGTTCATTTACCCATGAAAAATCAATTTTATTCGTCCATAAAAAAATCCATTTGTCCACGAATTCACGAGCCCGTCCTCTTCTCAATACCGAATTTAATTAATTACTCGGCATTATCAACGGCTCCCGTTACGCATTAATCTCCCTCTCATTTTATTTTCACTGCTGTCATCAAAGTGTAAATATTATCATTTTTTTTTATTCACCGATTATAACAGGACTGTACGTCACAGTATATCACAGCTTTAAAACCTTGTCAGCACTGAAATAATGATATTTCTCTGTTGTATATGTAGAGATCACATGTTTACACGTGTTATCATCGTCTTTTTTCCTCGCCGTTCGTACGATGTTTCTGCTTCTGTCCCTCACCCCCTCGGATGAAATTTTAAATTGTCTCTTCGCACTCTCCTCATGATTGTGACGTGCATTTTCTGGTCGAGTTTAACGCGAAGACCTTACAATGGATTTTTTTCTTATGTAACGACTGAGAGATTTGTTTGAGGGTACGGGAATTATTAAAGTTGAGGGGTTTTACTGGGGAGAGATTGTACTTCAACACTTTCGGCTGGACGAGAGGATTCAATGATGCATTATTTTTTTTCTCCTATTTTATGAATTTTTGATGAGGAGAAATCGTCGAAGGGTTGAATGAATTCTTATTTTTTTTCATATTTGGTTTTTTTTGGATATCTGGGAGAGGAGTTGCTCTGGGGGAACATGTTATAAGATATTTTTTGTAGAGAATTTCATGGGCCACAAACAATTTTTTTGTGACATTTTCATGTAAACCCACTCATTTCGGAGAGATTTAGGGAAAACTGAATGCAAAAATTTGTCAATTTCCAGAATTTTCGTGTTTTTTATTGTTTTGAATTTGCAGTTGTCTATAAAGAGAATGAGTTTATCAGAAAATATATTGGCTTTCTTGATGTACATCAATACTTTCGTGTGAACAAAAGAATTAAATGATGCATCGTTTTTTCTCCAATTTTATTGATTTTTGATGATTAGAAATCGTTGAAGAGTAGAAGGAATTCTCATTTTTTTTCATATTTGGTTTTTTGTGGATATCTGGGAGAGGAGTTGCTCTGGGGGAAAATGTTATAGGACATTTTTTGTAGAGAATTTCATGGGCTACAAACAATTTTTTGTGATATTTTCTTGTAAACCCACTCATTTCGGAGAGATTTAGGGAAAACTGAATGCAAAAATTTGTCAATTTCCAGAATTTTCGTGTTTTTTATTGTTTTGAATTTGCAGTTGTCTATAAAGAGAATGAGTTTATCCGAAAATATATTGGCTTTCTTGATGTACATCAATACTTTCGTGTGAACAAAAGAATTAAATGATCCATCGTTTTTTCTCCAATTTTATTGATTTTTGATAATGAGAAATCGTCGAAGAGTAGAAGGAATTCTCATTTTTTTTCATATTTGGTTTTTTGTGGATATCTAAGGAAGGAATTGCTCTGGGGGAAAATGCTATAGGACATTTTTTATAGAGAATTTCATGGGCTACAAACAATTTTTGTGACATTTTCCTCTAAACCCACTCGTTTTAGAGATATTTATGGAAAACTGAATGCAAAAATTTTTCCATTTCCAGAATTTTCGTTATTTCTCTCTCTGACATTTGATATTTCGCAATGCAAACTGTGGGAATTCTTCTAATTCGCTCTTTCAATAATGATTTATCAATAATAAGAAAAAAAATTGATTTTCAGATGTCACACCATCAGAACAAGAGGATCTTTTCATCAGAAAGTTGCAGCAGTGCTGCGTGGTATTTGACTTTATGGATCCAGTCGCTGATCTCAAAGTAAAAGAGATCAAACGTTGTACCCTCAATGAACTCGTTGAATACATCACAGCTGGCAGAGGTGTACTCACTGAGCCAGTTTACCCGGAAATTATCAAGATGATATCGGCTAATTTATTTCGTACATTGCCACCGAGTGAACATCCCGATTTCGATCCGGAGGAGGATGATCCGACATTAGAGGCTAGCTGGCCACATCTACAATTGGTCTATGAATTCTTTTTACGTTTTCTCGAGTCGTCTGATTTTCAACCGACCATTGGAAAAAAAGTTATTGACCAAAAATTTGTTCTACAGGTAAATTCGTTATTGTAATTATTTTTCAATTATTTTAGTCTTATTTCATTGTGTCATTGATGAACAATTAATTACTCATATTTTTTCCACGATTTGCAATCGATTTTACCTTTAAAATTATGAATAAAAAGTTTTTTTTTCAATTCAGACGTTTTCAATTCATTTTTAAATAGTTTAATTATCGTTTTTAATTATTCGACCAATGATAATTATTTAATGCTGCTGAAAGAGGGATTTTTTATTGAAATTAATGCATTTGCAGTTTTTTCAATTAAAATTTTCTGTTTTATTTTATCTAGTTTCAATTTTTATTCAATTATCGTTTTATTTAATTTGTTAATTAATTTTGTTTAATAATTCTGTTGGATTATTTTTATTTTTCCCCACAATTTTCAATCGGTTTTGCCTTTAAAATTAGAAATAAAAGTTTTTTTTTAATTCAGACGTTTTTAATTCATTTTTAAATAGTTTAATTATCGTTCTTAATTATTCGATCAATGATAATTATTTAATGCTGCTGGAAGAGTGTTTTTAAATTGAAATTAATGCACTTGCAGTTTTTTAAATTAAAACTTTCTATTTTATTAGATTTAGTTTCCATTTTTATTAATTTCTCAACGTTTGATTTAATTTAATTTGTTAATTAATTTTGTTTTATGATTTTGTTGAATTATTTATTTCATAAAAATGACTGAAACTCACACGAGAAATAATTTCACTGAATTTTCCTGTTTCATTTTATTTAGTTTTAATTTTTATTCAACTCTCAACGTTTTATTTTATGATTTAATTTTCATTCTCCAACAATTTCCGATATTTATTCAATTTATTCCATTCAATCGTCCAGTGTTATCTACCCATTTATTTACTGAATCATTCATTATTGACGAAATAAATACGAACGAAAATCAACAGACAATTCTTTGTTTTTCTCAGTAATAAAAATACTTATTTCTGCAGCTGTTAGATTTGTTTGACTCCGAAGACCCCAGGGAGAGAGATTTCTTGAAGACAGTCTTACATCGCATCTACGGAAAGTTCCTCGGCCTTCGGGCATTCATACGCAAACAGATAAACAACATATTCCTCAGGTAACGACATAACTGAAATATTAATGGAAAGAGTAAACATGAGGAGAGTCGAGGCTTTATCTCATGATTTTATGAGTTTTGAGGTAACTTTTTGACTTTTATATCCTCCATTGGTGATCATTACATGGGACATTCCTTTCAGGTTTGTGTACGAAACAGAACACTTCAATGGAGTTGGAGAACTGCTGGAAATTCTGGGGAGCATTATCAATGGTTTCGCACTACCACTGAAGGTCGAACACAAGCAATTCTTAGTCAAGGTACATTACCAGCATTTTTGCGGAATCCTCGGAATATTAAATTGCCTTGGGGAGGGGTAAAGCTCGTTTACATGTGCTGAGAAGTACAACAGATGATTCATTTCGGTATTCATAATTTTGTGGGAACGAATTGATAAAATTGTAGATTTTTTTTTTCATTGTGCATTTAGATTTTTCATTACCATTAAGAGGTGTATTAGGAGAGAATTTTTTAGATTAATTGAATATATTTCGTTATTTTGGGGGAAATAATTGATGAAGTTGCAGAATTTTTGTTTAAAAGTTATGGATTTATTTCCTTAATGAATGGACTGGAGGTGAATGTCAAGAAATTTTTTTTTAGAAAATTCAATTCTCCACGGAAGAATTTTATTTTATTTTTTCTGTAAAATCAGTCCTTGCCAAGATCACTCCATAATTACAAATGAAAGTGATTAAATATTATCAAAATAACAGAAGAATTGAATGTTTCTTTATTCATAATTTTTTAATTGACAATTTTTCTTTAATTATGCATTTATTTTCAAAAAAATTGGACTAGAGGAGAATCTCAAGGATTTTTTTAGAAAATTCAATTCTTTGCGGAAGAATTCAATTTGATTTTTTTGTAAAATCATCCCTTGTGAAGATCAGCCCATAATTACAAATGAAAATCATCAAATATTATTGAAATAACAGAAGAATTAAATATTTCTTTATTCATGCATTTTTAATTGAGAATTTTTCTTTAATTATGCATTTATTTCCAAAAAATTAGATTAGAGGAAAATGTCAAGGATTTTTTTTTTAGAAAATTCAATTTTCTACAGAAGATATTCATTCTATTTTCTTTGTAAAATCATCCCTTATCAAGATCAGCCCATAATGACAACTAAAAATCACCGAATATTATTGAAATAACAGAAGAATTGAATATTTCTTCATTCACAATTTTTTAATTGAGAATCTCGTGAAAGAAAAATTCATAAACTTGTATAAATTTTCTTAAATTACGCATCATGCATTATTATCATTATTATTATCATTAAATGATGTATTATTTTGTTATATCATGCACTCATTCCCACAAAAATTTGGATGAGCAAAAAAATATTGACAAAATTGAATTATCCTCAAAAAACATCTCAATATTTTTTCAAGAACTGTCTTCTGAAATAATCACATGGGTTTTACCACTTCTCTGATGACTTTTCAACAACTTAAAAATATTGAATAATTGTTTTATCAAGTGAAATTAAAAAATGATAATTTTTGTATTCAGGTGCTGCTGCCACTGCATAAGGTGAAGGGTTTGTCCCTCTACCATGCACAGTTAGCATATTGCGTGGTTCAATTTCTAGAGAAGGATGCAACGTTAACGGAACCAGTGGTGAGGGGTCTCCTCAAATTCTGGCCTAAAACATGTAGCCAGAAGGAGGTCATGTTTCTTGGTGAAATTGAAGAGATTCTCGATGTTATAGAACCTAGCCAATTTGTTAAAATACAGGAACCACTGTTCAGGCAGATAGCACGCTGTGTCTCTTCACAACATTTTCAGGTAAACCTTTCTTTAATTTTCACTAGTTTTAATAAATTTGAGAAATTAATTCCATAAAATTGTTCTAAATCACAAAAATTTATCTTGATAACAGATTTACCTGAAGATTATTTTCAAAACCAATTAAAAATTCATGTTTTGGTCATGACAATTCACTCAATTTCATTTTAATTATTAATTTTTAATTATTTTGTCAACATCTCGTCGCAATTAAGTTCAACTCTTGGGCATTCTCACTAGATTTAAAAATATTTGGGGAATAAACTTCATAAAATTTGTTCAGTTCGCAAAAACTGATGTCGACAACAAATTTCCCTGACGATTTTCTTCAAAACAAATTGAAAAATAATGTATTGGACATGATGATTCATTCAATTTTACTTTAATTATCAATTTTTAATTATTTTGTCAATATCTCGTCGCAATTAAGTTCAACTCTTGGGCATTCTCACTAGATTTAAAAATATTTGGGGAATAAACTTCATAAAATTTGTTCAGTTCGCAAAAACTGATGTCGACAACAAATTTCCCTGACGATTTTCTTCAAAACAAATTGAAAAATAATGTATTGGACATGATGATTCATTCAATTTTACTTTAATTATCAATTTTTAATTATTTTGTCAATATCTCGTCGCAATTAAGTTCAACTCTTGGGCATTCTCACTAGATTTAAAAATATTTGGGGAATAAACTTCATAAAATTTGTTCAGTTCGCAAAAACTGATGTCGACAACAAATTTCCCTGACGATTTTCTTCAAAACAAATTGAAAAATAATGTATTGGACATGATGATTCATTCAATTTTACTTTAATTATCAATTTTTAATTATTTTGTCAATATCTCGTCGCAATTAAGTTCAACTCTTGGGCATTCTCACTAGATTTAAAAATATTTGGGGAATAAACTTCATAAAATTTGTTCAGTTCGCAAAAACTGATGTCGACAACAAATTTCCCTGACGATTTTCTTCAAAACAAATTGAAAAATAATGTATTGGACATGATGATTCATTCAATTTTACTTTAATTATCAATTTTTAATTATTTTGTCAATATCTCGTCGCAATTAAGTTCAACTCTTGGGCATTCTCACTAGATTTAAAAATATTTGGGGAATAAACTTCATAAAATTTGTTCAGTTCGCAAAAACTGATGTCGACAACAAATTTCCCTGACGATTTTCTTCAAAACAAATTGAAAAATAATGTATTGGACATGATGATTCATTCAATTTTACTTTAATTATCAATTTTTAATTATTTTGTCAATATCTCGTCGCAATTAAGTTCAACTCTTGGGCATTCTCACTAGATTTAAAAATATTTGGGGAATAAAATTTGTTCAATTCACAAAAACTGATGTCGACAAGCGATTTTTCTGAACATTATTTTGCAAACTAATTGAAAAATTATGTTCTGGGCCTCATTGTTCACTCACTAATCTTCCAATTTTATTTTTCATTCAGGTGGCAGAGAGAGCACTGTATTTCTGGAACAATGAGTATATTATGTCACTGATAGAGGAGAATAATCACGTGATAATGGGAATAATGTTTCCAGCATTGTACAGAATAAGTAAAGAGCACTGGAATCAGATGATTGTTGCTCTTGTTTATAATGTACTAAAAACTTTTATGGAGATGAACAGCAAGCTCTTTGACGAATTAACTGCCAGCTACAAGTCAGAGAGACAAAAGTAATTACTTCATGATTAAATTTCTTCCTCCAACATTTGCGAATTCATCACTGTAATTTTTAATCCCCCGAGGACTAAATTTCGTTTGAAATTTCCTCCTAAAATCAACATTAACAGAAATTGTGAGATGAAAACGTTTTTTTTTCTCAGATTCTTTGGCAATTTGTGGCTCAATTTTCGTCATAAAAATATGAAAAATCAAGTGATTGGGTTTTTTTCACTTGAAAATTACTTGAATAATGTTTTTATTTATTTTAGAGAGAAAAAACGAGATAAAGAGAGAGAGGAATTGTGGAAGAAACTGAAAGATTTGGAGGTAGAGCGAAGTAATGCGCTCATGGCAACACCCAATACTCCAGTTCCTGCCACCACTGCACCTGCGACACGAGCCCGCCCCTGAGCTGGTAAAAATCATCTCTTATTCCTTGAATTTTCAATGATCAATGAATTTCTCCACCTCGACCGGGGCAAAATAGTTGAAATAAATTTAACGTGGCGGTTTTTCACTGCACATTTAGAGAATTTTATGCTCCAATGGATCTCTAATACTGCAGGTACCCTCTCGCCAAGTCCAGGGTTCAGTTCTTCACTTTTAGTCATTGTAAAAATTTTTTTTATCGATTTGGAACCACTGCGGACGATTCATGACGTCTTGATGGCTGTCGGCTACGTTATTGATCGACTGGTGAAGTCCTGGTTCAGGGGATTCAACTTCAAATTCAACAAATGAAAATTAACGAAGCTTTCACTTCAATTCTGATGAATTCATGTTAAATTGATGATTATCTCATTAACGAGGGGGTTTACGACAAAAATTCATACAACATTTTTTGTAGGAAATTCAATTCTCTACAAAAAATGTCTTATGATATTTTCTCCTAAACCCGCTCATTACCGAGATAATCCCCGAATAAAAAACCTGAGCTGAAGTATTTCGCGATTCTCATTATAAAATCAATTAATTAATTACTACGGGTTGATTTCTAATTACGTACGACAAACAGTTGATTATTGCCTCACACGACAGCCGACTGAACGCCATTCTTTCATCGCCGATTAATCAATGGAATTAGCTGAACGATAAATTAATCCAATCAGAATCTTCCTAATTAATCAATTAAAATTTTCTCTTTCAGGTGGATCCTCACTACCATGCTGCCCAATTGTTAGCCCCTAGTTTACGTCGATTTGTCCTCGAAACAACATACCCAACCGCAAAAAGTAAAATGCAAATTATCGTTGTTAGTGAAAGAAACAAAAAAAAACATTAAACAAAAATCTACAAATGTCCACCGGCATTGACGTAAAGTAACCGATAAAAATCATTAAAAAAATTCCCAAAAAAAATATATGAAAACTCCTCTTGTTAGTTGAGAGCCGCAAAGGCCCGAGTTGGCGGGGAAGTGACGATCAAAGCTGCAGTAATATCACAATCTATTGGCAGGACTGTTGACATGAAATTAATGAAAAATTAATCCTAAGAATTAAAATGAATCCAGTGGGACAGAATGATGAATTCGAATGAACCTCCACGACTAATTTAATATGTGTACAATAATTTCTATGATTTAACTCAGATGAGAGAGGTAATTCATTGTTTTTAATAACGATTAAAGAAAATTGTTGTCTCATCTCTTTATTGAATTTGAATGAGTTTAATTTGTATGGTGTACTCGGTGTCAGCACGTAAAATGAAAAATGAGAATGTCAGTCCCTTCTTAATTAAGGCTGTCCTGTCCAAATGATGGAGGTGATGATCAGAGTTAATAATTACGTAATTAGCGAAAATAGAGATTTAATGAGACAATTGTGTGCATGAATTTAATCGATGGAAAAAGTGAAATAAGTATTGGGGAGAGTTGAATAATCATTTTTTATTACCAAAAATTGACGTGGACAAGTAATACTGATGGATTTTCATTGATGTAATGTATCTGCACTTTGTATTTAGGTAATTGTAATTAATAATTGAGGGGTTTAACGTGATTTTCTTTATTTTCTCATTTTTTGCATGCTTTTGGGGGCGATTATCTCGGTAGTGAGTGGGTTTAGGGAGAAATGTCATAAGACACTTTTTGTCGACAATTCAATTTTCCACTGGAAAGGTTCTATGAACTTTTCTCGTAGGACTACTCGTTAACGAGATAATCGCGTAATTACGAAATTGGAAAAATCAGAATTTCACGTTTTACCACTCGACGGCAGAATTAATTAACAAATCTCCATTATTTCATTTGTATGATTAAAGTAAAATGATAATTAATGAGTACATGATCTTCACCTCCTTTTTTGGGGCACGAAGCGTTGTTTGAAATGTATCATATATTCGTATTAATGATAAATAATGATTAACTATAACAAGAACATAATAAATTAGGTAAATATATAAATAAAAAATGAATATATATAAATATATATAATACAATATATTATAAAATATAGTAATATTGATGATACGTGAAATAAATACAAGAGAAAAACATTTTAAAAATTTACAAAGGTAATGATTCATAAATTACACACGACATTTACACGTTCGACACGTACAAAATCAGGTACACGAGGAATTTTCGATAAATTCTGTAGGGGAAGAGGAGGGGCTGGGGGTGAAAAGTGTTTCCGTGCTATTAACTGATAACAAAAAATCATTTTTCAATATTTCAGGGGTGAAATGGTGAAACGAGAGAAATTTCCGAAATTTCGTCCGCGGTTTTTTGGGAATATCTCGGGATCTGTGGGAGATGGGGGAATTTTCGTCAGGAACTTTTTTGTGGGGAATTTCAAGGGCTAGAAAAAAGGTCGAGATGCAAATGGGCGTATCTCCCTTCTGTAATGAGATATTCAGGAAAAACTGACTGGGAGTTGATGAAATTGTCTGTTTCAGCAGTTCACTCGTGATTTTTTCAGTCTTCAAGGGGAATTCTTGGGTTTTTGGGGGTGACGACGTGCTGCATGTTATGTATTACGCATTATTTTGTATTTGAGCGGGGGATAATGAGAATTTTTAATTCATCGTAAGCAATGGAGTCAGAGAAATAAGAGAGATTAACAAAGTTGGTGAAAAATACTGAGAATTAATTGTACCAAAATATCCATGAATTACTTATAAATAATTAATGATAACATATTGATAACAATAAGTAATAAATAGAGGATAAAGTGCATAATAAGAATTTATTCGGAGCTGTGCTCCCACTGGCCACCGTTGAAAGTGTACGTGGGATCGTTTTTCAAATGAAAAAATAATGAAGAAATATGAGAATAATAAACAAAACGAGTTATTAAGAAATTTCTTACAATTCATAATTAAACATTAAATAGGCGACATGTTGAGGGCTCAGTAGTAGGTGATGATTTGACGAATGAGTGAATTGCTTGCTCACATCATTTTATTTATTTATTATTATTTTGTTCAGTTGATGGGATGAAATGCTCAAGTTGAAGACTAATCCATTAATTATGCAATTATCTCGGTAATGAGTGGGTTTACCACAAAAAGTCATATAAACTTTTTTGTAGAGAATTCAATTCCCTGCGAAAAATGTTTTGTGACATTTTCTCCTCAACCCCCTCATTATCGAGGTAATTAACAAAGAGTGACAACAAAACAATGCACGAAATTTTCATTCCGATTAAGATGAATCCTCAAGAAATTGACAATTATCTCAGTAACGAGTGGGTTTACGACGAAAAGTCGTAGAACGTTTTTTGTAGAGAATTTAATTTTCTACGAAAAATGTCGTATGGAATTTTCTCCTAAACCCACTCATTACCGAGATAATGAAAAAATAAAAAAATCTTAACCGAAGCACTTCGCAATTCCCATGATAAAATCAGTTAATTAATTACTAGGGGTAGATTTCTAATTACGTACGACATAAACAGCTGATTATTGCCTCACACGACTACAACCAATTAAACGCCATTATTTTATCACCGAAGATCCCCTCCAGCGGAATCTCCCTAATTAATCAATTAAAATTCTCCTGGAGGGGATTTTCCCTCACACGACGACTCACGTAATCAATACGCTTTCAGGTATTAAAGAAAATCGATAATAAATGGCCGAATAAGTTTGTTAACAGGCAGTCCTCGAACCGAGAGGAGAATCAATGAATCGACGATTGATTGATCAATCGAAACCGAAGGAAAACAATTTCCTGATGAAGAGTATAACGCAAATGAGAATGAGATGATAACGAGAGGACAATTGCAAATGATCTGAACAATTGTTTCAACGTATTATAATATATTTTTAACATCTACGATTAGTTGTATAAATAGCGTGGAAAAAAAGAGTATGATGGGAAAGGAAAATTTAGTTACATTCATTCCGCTGAGAAATCCGTTGTACAGAAAATGAATAAAAACAGTGAAATTAATTGTTTTATTTGTGGAATAAATGTTCAACTTGCGGATTGTTTCAGTCGACATTTTTTCGTGGGGGTTAACGGGAGAGAAGGTGAGTGAATATTCCATTAATTATCGTCAATTACCGATTAATTATCAAATTAGGAAATAGTGCATTTTTTAAATATAAAGGGCTGAATTTATTCATTCTTCTTCAATTTGAGGGGAGTAAATCAATTGTTTTGTGAGCGAAGTGCACTGAGAGAAAAACGACAAAGCTCTCAAACAAGTCTTACTTGTGCCAAGAAAATAGTTTTTTGAAAATTATCAAAAAAGGATTTTTTTGTGCCAAACATGCAGAGAGTGCGCTGGAATGAAAAATTTTTGTCGCAAAAATGGATTTTGTAGTTCAAAAAAAATTGCATTCTGTGTAATCGGAAGAAATGTTATTTTTAAAACTACTCCTTCTTTATTCGATACTCCCATACGTATTTTGCTCCCGAAAAATCTTTGTTTTATGCGAAACAAGGGACAGTAGTTTTTCGTTTCGGCTGTCTAATAATCACAGACAAGAAATGAACCCTTAAATGAAACAATAATAATATGATAGCAATCGTGTAACTTGAGGATAAAATATTTGTTGATAAATTTTCCTCTGTATGAGATATTCATCCTGAAAAGGCACCGTCTGGTGTGAATTAGCCGCCTCTTGAGCCAAATATTTCGTTGCTGTCGAAAGCAGAACAATTGTTCATGTTTGAGACTTTCAAAATCGAACCAAACAAATTCTTTTTTGGCAATTTTCAACTATTTTGTTGGTCCAAACAAGACTTGTTTGACGTGTTTGTTTTTCTTTCAGTGTGTTCGAGGGGCTCGAGAGGATCAAAGCCATTAAGGATTAAGTCATATTTTATGAAAATCGAATTCCTGGGGGAATTCACGATCTAGGGTTTTAATTAAAATTGCGTAAAATTCCTGAGGACATTTACAATATTTTTGTTTCCCTGGGAATGTCTGAGGCTTCAAAACTTTCAAAACACCAGATTTCGCGGGATTTCTTCCTTTGCAACGGGAATTTTCCTAGTCTTCTCTTTCCCATCGCTAGGTGGCGAGTCCAAAAAATTCCCAACAAACACTAATAAACATTAGAGACCAGTGTAATGTCGACCTTCATCGTTTTTATTTATTCTTATCTCCGAAAGAGTGAAACCAACATAAATCTGTTATAAAAGTGAGCTTGACAACAGTTTCCACTTGAGAGTCGTTTAACATTGGATTTACGAGGCTGGTCGATATTTATTGACATCTATTCCAGGGTGCCAATTGACTCTATTGTCAGGAGAATCAATTGTTTATTCATTACACAAGAGGTAAAGATTAACTAGACAATCCCAGATTTGCATGTGTAATTATCTCATGCTCTCGGAATTTTTTATTTTCTTTTTTAGTGACTCATGTAGATATTTGTGTCACTGGTTTAAACATTAATTTTTATCGTTTGTTGACAAATAGCAATGAATCATCTATAATTTTCCCCTTATTTATATTTTTTAAACATTAAAATTCGATGATAAATCATCAGAATCAACAATTAACTCATCGAATTCTATCGAGTTTAGACAATTTTGATTAAAAGAAATTAGAACTTTTCAACTTCGTTAATTTCTAATTCTCATTGCACAAGAGGTGAAGAATAATATTAAACAATCCCTGATTTGCATATGTAAATATCTAATCACTCTAGTGATTTTTTATTTTCTTTTTTAGTGACTCATGTAGATATTTGTGTCACTTGTTTAAAAATTAATTTTTATCGTTTGCTGACAAATAGCAATGAATCATCTATAATTTTCCCCTTATTTATATTTTTTAAACATTAAAATTCGATGATAAATCATCAGAATCAACAATTAACTCATCGAATTCTATCGAGTTCAGACAATTTTGATTAAAAGAAATTAGAACTTTTCAACTTCGTTAATTTCTAATTCTCATTACACAAGAGGCGAAGAATAATATTAAACAATCCCTGATTTGCATACGTAAATATCTAATTACTCTCGGAATTTTTCACTTTCGTTTTTAGTGATTCATGCAGATATTTCTGTCACTATTTTAAAAATGAATTTCTCCTTTTTGTAAACAAATATTAATGACTCATCTGTAAATTCCCAGTTACTTATATTTTTTAAACAAAAAAATTTGTTGATAAATCACTATAATCACCACCTAATTTACTCAATTCCCTAGAATCCAGTTGAGCCCCTCAAACCACTTCACCTTCTTCCATTTCAAATTTCAGAAATGACCCCCCCGACCCCCTAGCCCTCCCCCTCCCNGACGCCCTCGACGACGCACCCGAACCCCCACAACAGGCACCCGGACTACCTCATCTCCCCGACCGACATCCCCACGCACGAAAAACCCCACGACCCCCCCATCCCCGCGAGGTCCCAGCAGTCCTCCCCCCTCTTCAAGGGTCACAAGATCGTCCACCTGGACCTGAAAGGGGCGCCCCCAGTCCTCAGTTATTACCGGCACCTCCTCAGGCTCTTCAAGACCCTAGGAGCCACCGGAATTCTCCTCGAGTACGAGGACATGTTCCCGTACAGCGATTCCCTCCAGAATATATCGGCGACAAACGCCTACAGCCCCCAGGACATTCAGACGATCCAGGAGATTGCCTCTGAGAACAATCTCATCGTCATCCCCCTGATCCAAACCTTCGGACATCTCGAATTTCTCCTGAAACTCGACTCCCACAAGGACCTCCGGGAGGTGCCTCGCTACCCCCAGGTCATCTGCCCCACGAACCCCCAGACCCTTCCCCTCCTCCATCAGATGATCGATCAGGTGATCCACCTGCACCCGAACCTGAAGTACCTGCACATCGGCGCCGACGAGGTCTACCACATCGGCGAGTGCTCGCGGTGTCTCGACGAACTGTCGAAACACCAGTGGACGAAGCGACAGCTCTTTCTGTCACACATTAAGAAGGTCGTTGAGTACATCAAGGGGTCGCATCCTCGGGTTAAGGTCCTCATGTGGGACGACGAGTTCCGGGGGATCAGTCCTGGTGAGATCGTGGAGACGGGGCTGCATAAAATGGTCGAGCCCGTCGTGTGGAAGTACACGAGGAACCCAGCCGCTGCTCTCGATCAGGTCTGGGAGGGGTACAGCGAGATCTGGAAGAGCGTTTGGGTGGCCACTGCCTTCAAGGGAGCTACTGAGCCTGATAGGTATGGGTTTTTTAGGGGGGTAACTCGGGGAGTCTTAGGGGGAAGTGAAAGGGGACAGGGATCTGACTGGAATTGTTTTTTTTTTTTTAAGTAGAATTTGATAGAATTGATTGAGTAGAATTTTGTACTTATAAAACACGAGGAACCCAACCGATTCCCTCGATCAGGTCTGGGAGGGGTACAGCGAGATCTGGAGTTCTGGCTCAGGAGAAATTAAAAATCTGAGTTTTTTTTTTTTTTTTTTTTTTTTTTTTTTTTTTTTTTTTTTTTTTTTTTTTTTTTTTTTTTTTTTTTTTTTTTTTTTTTTTTTTTTTTTTTTTTTTTTTTTTTTTTTNCAAGAATTTGTTGGAGTTGATAGCATAGGATTAGATAGAATAGAATTTTATACTTATAAAACACGAGGAACCTAGGTGCTGCTCTGGGTCAGGCCTGGGAGGGGTACAGCGAGATCTGGAAGAGCTTTTGGGTGGCCACTGCCTTCAAGGGAGCTACTGAGCCTGATAGGTATGGGTTTTTTAGGGGGGTAACTCGGGGAGTCTTAGGGGGAAGTGAAAGGGGACAGGGATCTGACTGGNTTTTTTTTTTTTTTTTTTTTTTTTTTTTTTTTTTTTTTTTTTTTTTTTTTTTTTTTTTTTTTTTTTTTTTTTTTTTTTTTTTTTTTTTTTTTTTTTTTTTTTTTTTTTTTTTTTTTTTTTTTTTTTTTTTTTTTTTTTTTTTTTTTTTTTTTTTTTTTTTAAGAATTTGTTGGAGTTGATAGCATAGGATTAGATAGAATAGAATTTTATACTTATAAAACACGAGGAACCTAGGTGCTGCTCTGGGTCAGGCCTGGGAGGGGTACAGCGAGATCTGGAAGAGCTTTTGGGTGGCCACCGCCTTCAAGGGAACGACAGAACCTGATAGGTCTGCGCTTTTTGGGGGGATAACGCCGGGAGAGTTAGGGGGAAATGAAAGGGGGAGTTCTGGCTCAGGAAAACTTTGAAATCTGACAGGGATGTTTTTTTTTTTTTTTTTTTTTTTTTTTTTTTTTTTTTTTTTTTTTTTTTTTTTTTTTTTTTTTTTTTTTTTTTTTTTTTTTTTTTTTTTTTTTTTTTTTTTTTTTTTTTTTTTTTTTTTTTTTTTTTTTTTTTTTTTTTTTTTTTTTTTTTTTTTTTTTTTTTTTTTTTTTTTTTTTTTTTTTTTTTTTTTTTTTTTTTTTTTTTTTTTTTTTTTTTTTTTTTTTTTTTTTTTTTTTTTTTTTTTTTTTTTTTTTTTTTTTTTTTTTTTTTTTTTTTTTTTTTTTTTTTTTTTTTTTTTTTTTTTTTTTTTTTTTTTTTTTTTTTTTTTTTTTTTTTTTTTTTTTTTTTTTTTTTTTTTTTTTTTTTTTTTTTTTTTTTTTTTTTTTTTTTTTTTTTTTTTTTTTTTTTTTTTTTTTTTTTTTTTTTTTTTTTTTTTTTTTTTTTTTTTTTTTTTTTTTTTTTTTTTTTTTTTTTTTTTTTTTTTTTTTTTTTTTTTTTTTTTTTTTTTTTTTTTTTTTTTTTTTTTTTTTTTTTTTTTTTTTTTTTTTTTTTTTTTTTTTTTTTTTTTTTTTTTTTTTTTTTTTTTTTTTTTTTTTTTTTTTTTTTTTTTTTTTTTTTTTTTTTTTTTTTTTTTTTTTTTTTTTTTTTTTTTTTTTTTTTTTTTTTTTTTTTTTTTTTTTTTTTTTTTTTTTTTTTTTTTTTTTTTTTTTTTTTTTTTTTTTTTTTTTTTTTTTTTTTTTTTTTTTTTTTTTTTTTTTTTTTTTTTTTTTTTTTTTTTTTTTTTTTTTTTTTTTTTTTTTTTTTTTTTTTTTTTTTTTTTTTTTTTTTTTTTTTTTTTTTTTTTTTTTTTTTTTTTTTTTTTTTTTTTTTTTTTTTTTTTTTTTTTTTTTTTTTTTTTTTTTTTTTTTTTTTTTTTTTTTTTTTTTTTTTTTTTTTTTTTTTTAACGTGGATACGTATATGGTTTCAATATGGGGGGTCATTTTGGGAAACGGTCCTTATGTAGAGCGCCATGTATCGAAATTCTAGAAAATTCGAGACATTTCGAGGCAATTCGAGAAGTTTCTTGAAATTTCGAAAAAATTGAAGGAGTTTCTAGGAAATTCGAGAAGAAAGGAAAGAATGGACGTATTCTCGTACAATTACAGCAGTATCAAAGAGTGACAGTGACAGTTTTTACTCCCGCAGATATTGGACGGATATAAGCCACCACCTGGAGAACCACCAGCGGTGGTTGGAGATAATCGATCGTTACTCTGATCGAATCACGTTCAAAGGTGTCATCCTCACTGGCTGGCAGAGGTACGACCACTTCAGCATTCTCTGTGAACTGCTGGCGAGCTCCCTGCCTTCGCTGGCTGTGAACCTCGCTGTGCTGCAAGCCAAGAGTCTCAACGAGTTCTTCGGGGAGACACCCGGGGCCGTAGCGCAGGCCCTCCAGTGCGAGGGGACGGTCTCCTTGACGATCCCCGAGCCCAACTACGGCTGGACCAAGTGCAGGTTTCCTGGGGTCGAGGTTTACTCAGTTGTCTTGAGGCTCTTCGGGCTCCACCAGGACATCCAGAGGATGGAGGAGGAGAACACCTTCAAGGGGTGGCTCAAGGAGTACAACATCAGACATGTCTTCTCAAATCCTAGTTATGTGGAGCAGGCGGTGGGGGATTTGGACAGGTTCAAGATGGAACTCGTTTACATTGAGAAGGAGATGAAGAGCGCGATGGAGGGGATCTACGACGAGTTCACTTTCAAGGAGTGGATTGAGACTTTTGTGGTGCCGTTGAACGAGAAGGTCACCAGGCTGTGGGAGGCCAAGGAGAGGATCCTGGAGAGGGGGAGCTGGCCCAGGAGACCTTTGAAGTCTGAGTTATAGATGATGAAGAGGGGATTGAGGAGAATCGACGATTTTCTCGGGAACTGTTGGGTTTAGGAGAAAATGCCAGAGGAACTTTTTGTGGGGCATGAAATTCTGGAGAAAAAAGGTCCTCTAGGGTTTTTCGATAGCTGCACTCCTTAGTGAGATTATTGAGGGGTTAGTGGGGGAGCGATTGAATCAGGCCGAAGGTGGAGTTTTCTTATAATTATGCGATTATCTCAGGAATGAGTGGGTTTAGGAGAAAATTTTATGGAACATTTTTTGTGGGGAATTGAATTCTCTATAAAAAAGGTTCGGTGATGTTTTCTTGTAGAATCAACTGTTGTCGAGATAATCCGTAATTAAGAAATGGAGTTTTGTAGGGATGAAGAATTTAATGATTTTTTTCATGATTGACGTTTTGATGGCGTAATTTTGTGGGGAAAATTTTTCTGTGGAAATTTGTAGTGGGTTTAGAGCCTTCTGTGTTCCCTGGGAATTCTTATCTCTGATCTGCGCACATTTGAGAGATTAATCTAGTTACAGAACACCTAGTTGTCAATGAATCATTGATAGCTGTTCTGGGATTACCAGTGATGCTTCCAGTTATAGTTTACTTCTTTTCATTTAGAGGAGAAAGGTCACTTGTAATTATGTACAAATAGAGTGCGAGAATCGTAGTGAATTAGACGAGAATTAGAGTGATTAGAGGAATTTTCTTCCGTTCTGGATAGAATCCAGAGTTAACACTGTCTTACGATAATTTATGTGATAATCTGCATTGAAAAAACGGAGAATCAGATCCGATATCTACGGTGCAGAGATTATTTTTATCATGACAAGAATAATTAGAAAAATGAAAATTTATGGAGCCAATATTCGAATGAAGAAAGTAATGATTTTGCCATGCAAAACGATCTTTAGCTTCCGACTTGATTACTGCATATCATAAGAGGACGTAAATTAATTTTGAGAGGAAAAATGTACTATTATTTATTATTCATCAATTACTAATGATAATTGGGTCTGAATTTGTTATGAAATTGTAACAAAAACGTAAATATACAGAAGAAAAAGTTATATTGGTTAAAAATGTGAATTTTTCTTTAGTAAAATCGAAAATTTATTGATTCTTTTTCATTTTTACAAGTTTGTTAATACTTTGCGTTCATTTTTGAATAATTTTAATGCGTTTTGTATAAAATTCAAGGCACCAAGGGCGTAAGCCCCTCAACGTTGTGAATAATTCTTAATATTTAACTTTTCAACTTTTTTAATTTCTTATAAAAATTCAATCTCCTTTATCCTCAGAGATATTCTCAAAAAACTGAATTTCGAAGTGAATTTTAGATCTCCAATTTCCCCTGATCAGTATTGAACAGTTTTCTGCTGATTAAAAATCATCTAAAAAATATTTTTCCATCATTCGTCTCACTGCAATGAGCAGACAGCTGATTTTGATAGTGGAAGGGTCGGATAATTATTGTTCTGACATGATTTCCTGTGCGGCTGTCGTTTTATCACTTTTCGAATTGTCGCAACATCAACGGTATCTCCAATCTCAGCTGTCACTATTGGCTTGTGGGATTCTTGATCCATTCTGGTCAATTGGACGCCAAGAACTTTGGCAGAGAGATTAGCGATTGACAGTGAGACCTGGAAGGAAAAAAATCTAATGAAAAAAAACGATTTATCAGTATTCTGTGGTGAATAGATCGTCGTGTCTTTGATTATACCGATTCTCCAGTTCTCGCTGACATGTCGTGGTAGATTATTCCCTTCTCCGCAGCGTAACGATGGGATTTGTCGCGTTTCACTGTCCTCTGGTGCTCCATGTCACATTTGTTGCCTACGATCACCATCAGTGGACTTTTTCGAAAACTTCTCTCGGTTATTGCGACTACTGCCGTCATCCACGCTTCCATCACGTCGAAGCTTGAGGTGTTGGTCACGTCGTAGACGAACATAATTAACTGAAAGACAATTGTCATTAATCGCTGCATCACTAGGAAAATTTGAACTATCGTTTTATCCATTTTTTCAGAAGATGAGTTGAATTGTATTGCGAATATCTGTAAAACTAATGGGTTTAGAGAAAAATGTTATAGGACATTGTTTGTAGAGAATTTCATGGGCTGAAGAAAAGATCTTCTGACGTTTTTTCCTAAACCCATTAGATTTCGATATATTCACTAAAAATGAAATTGAGGGTTCGAGACTGTCTCGTAGTATTAAATTAGTCATTTTAAATTATGAAATTGTCTCGAGGAATTTCTCGTAAAAATTTCTCGATGTTTTTCACTGAATCGTGAATGAAGTTCACGAGAGATTATCGAAGCAGTGAACACAAGAATAAAATGAAATTTATTGCGTTGAGGATATCCAAGTACTTTGGCGATTTTTTCTCTAGTGAAATGTTTTTCTACTTTTGTTGTCGAACATCAGAGCTTTCATTGGAGTCCGTTTGACCCCAAGTTTCCGGAGATTTTACAATCATTTTATTATTTAAAAATTTTGTAGGACTGAATTTGAATTTCGATGTTGAATCGTTAGAAATCATTTTAAAAATCTGGAAAACAATTGGAAAGTTTACTTTTAGAGGAAGATTGATAGAATAATTTAAAAAATTCAGTTTTTTAAAGTTACGAACTTTTTTTTATAAATAATTCATAAACAACCAATTTTCCACCGGAAAAATCATTTGTTCGGAATTGCAACAAATTTACTCATATTCAGAATTTTGCTAGAAATCGATTTCATAATTTCAATTATTTATGTATTATTATTTATAAACAATTTATTTTTATTTATTATTATTTATTTATCAACAACGAATATTTAAAAATAATTCTGTGCAAAATGTTGAAACATTTTCTTAATAAATAAATAATAATAAAAAATGTGATTTAAAAGACGCTGAATATTCAGAATTTTGCTAGAAATCGGTTTCATAATTTCAATTATTTATTTATTATTATTTATAAACAATTTATTTTTATTTATTATTATTTATTTATCAACAACGAATATTTAAAAATAATTCTGTGCAAAATGTTGAGACATTTTCTTAATAAATAAATAATAATAAAAAATGTGATTTAAAAGACGCTGAATATTCATGATTTTTCTTTTCAAATTTGTCTCACGCAATTTAATCGACATATTTGATGATTGAAAATGTTGTGCCAAACTGTAAAAAATCCCTGGATATCCTCAAGTGAAATACGATGAATATTTATGCACTAATCATTACGTCAGCGGCGTATAAGTACTTGTCCAACATAGCTCCCCTCAGCGCAAGTCCCCCCACATCCCAGAAATGCAGAGTAACATTTTTAAATGGTCCCAGGCTCAAATTTTTCATGAAAAAATCCACCCCAGCTGTCGGTGTGTACTGCCTCGTGAACTCATCGTGGCAGAATTTCACTACAATGCTAGTCTGGAAAATAAATTATTACCTATAATAAAACCAGTATTAAACATCACATCACGTGCGAGAGACACGTGAGTGCACTCAACACGCCATTTATCCTCAAACTTTGCATGTCATTTTTCCATTTTTTATTATTTACAATTTGTTTTTATTTGAAAAAAAATTATGACTCACCTTTCCAGCACCGGAGTCTCCAACCAGCACGACTTTGAGTCGCTTCTCCGTCAAATCGTCTTCAGTTTCGTTCATCTAAACAAAATTTATCTCGTCAAACCCAAAAAATTCGAAAATTCCCGAATTTTGAAATTCGAAAAAATAAGTCACTCCACAAAAACCTGATTATCTCAGGAACTATAACTCGCACTTTGATGAAACCAGTTTCATCCGAAAGCCAGGGAAATTTCCGATTCCATGCTCTACAAATAAACCCATTTAGCCCCGGTCGTTCTCCGTAGAATCGAAATAACGTGTTTCAACGCCCGTTGACTTATCTTCCCGAAATTAGAAAAACTAGTGGGGCAAAATGGGTTCTTTTGTAGGGTTTGGAATCGGGAATTTTCCTGGCTTTCGGGTGAATTTGGACTCATCAACCTAGAGCTGATGGTTCCTGAGATATTCAGGAAAATATAAAAATGGGGTAGATAGATTGGTGATGCACTGCGTGCTGTGTTTTAAATTAATACAAATGACAGTTTAAATTAATCACACTGGTAATTTTAGTGAGTACGTACGGGGTGGAGGGTTCGATGTGCACTGCTGCGGTGTTTTCAAACTGCGTGGCCGGCATAGGGGCACCTGCCATAGCTTTCTTATGAATAAATTATCGAATAATCGATAGTTGGCAGTGGCGATCTGTGTCAATTCGTGGTTACACGGGGGCGATACGACGATAGCCATCCCTTCGTGTTTACGGGGACGATAAATTGCGCCTGCGTCGGGTAGGTTTGGGGGTGGCGGAGGGTAATGTGTTGGGTAACATTGAATAATAAATTTTTTAATTTACTATTTCAAACGAAAAATTAAAATCGAATTTTAAGTGATGATTTTCGTGGAATCAACTGCTAAAGTCATCCCGAATTTTTTATTCAATCATTTTGATGATTGAAAAATCATCAAAATACATTGAAATTAAGGTAATTAATTAGTTGATTGAGAATTATTTTTTTGGAATTAATATTGAAATAATAAAAAAAAGAAAAAAAAATAGTAATTAATAATAATAGTAATTAGTAGTATATTATTAATATTTATTATATAAATATTAATATTTAAATAATATACTAAATTATTAATTAGTATATTAATTATTTATTTTGCTTAGAATTAATATTGATATTAATATATCAATATTAATTCTAAGAAAATAAATAATTAATATAATAATTATTAATTTAGTATATTATTTAGTATAATAATATATTAAAATTAATATAATATACATTTTAATATAATGTATTAATATTAATATATTATTGTATAAAATTAATAATCAAAATATGTATTAAATATATATATTAATTATTAATTAATTTATATTAATTTTAATATACATTTTTGCATAAAACAACTTATTATGGTCGAAGATCAATAACAATGAAGATTAAAAAATTGTTGTTATCTTTCTTTCCAAATGACTCTTGAAGTAATGATTTTAAAACAAGAAAATCGAATAAACTTTTAATTCTTTAATCAATCATTTTGATGAATTTTCATTCATCAAAATTCATTGAAATTAATTAAGGTGATTAATTAGTCGATTGAAAATTATTTTCTTAGAATTAAAATTGACTGATTTATTGTCATTCTGGACATTTACACAATTTTATAAATTATACACGATCTTGAGGTAAATTAGGCACTTCTGTGAATGGTAGAATCATTCGGTGGAAAGTTTGATATTTCAATTGACACCAGTTTGGCCACGAAGTTTTAATTGACTCGGTCAATTGAATATTAAGTCTTTGTAATTCTGCAACAGGTAGTAGTTTGTAACTCTGCAGCAAGTCGTTGCGCGGACGACTGTGAGCCTGTCTGCACGCTCAAAGTTCGCTTTTACGACTTCGTAGTATCTTCCATCGCTGTAATTAATTTTACAGAAGTTAGTTAATTAATCAGCCACTATTTCCCTAATATCTCCGAAACCAATAGTTGTGGACAAAAACGTCAAAGGAACTTTTTGTAGATCAGAAAATTCTCTACAAAAAATATTATCTGACATTTTTTGCTAAAACCACTCATTATGGAGATAATTGACTAATTACAACAATTATGAAGAAAAACAACTTGAGAAAAAATTTCTTCGCATTACTTTGCAAATATCTCTTGAACTAATCGTTTTAGAAAAAAAAGTCAAATAAACTTTTTGTAGAAAATTAAATTTCCTGCAAAAAATGTTCAGTGGATTTTTTTTGTAAACCCTCTAGGTCCAGAGATATTTGCGAAATAGTGTCAATGGAATTTTTAAGATTTTTAGATTTCTGCAGTTGAGTTCTCTGGATTCATTCGGAATTATTGGACATGGGAATTTGATGTTTATTGCGTTCACCTGAGCACAAGACACCTCAGTTTAATACACTTCACCCGCAGCACGTCAATAGCTTTCTGGGATTTGTCGGAGAATCGCAAGTTCTCAGGATCCCAACGCAACTCTAGTCTCTCCAAGTTTGGACAGTTATTCGCTATTCCATCCATCAATTGATCGACGTGAATGTTTACTCCGAGTCTCTCCTGCGTTCCCATGACAGCAATCCTGGGTAAATTGAATACAGAGTGAAATAAATGGAATCAGTTTCACGAGGAAGTGATGAATAGAGGGAAATGGAACGGTGGAACAATTTCATTCTCGTTATTTTCAAATGTCTCATGATTCCATTCCATTCTATTCCCATTATTTTCGAATAAATTAATGATTTGAGAAGGAAATTTCAATAATTTCTGCGAAAAAAATTACTTTCCAAATTCCTATTTCCTTGAGGAATATTTACAAAATAATTTAAAGCCTAAATATCGTTCTGAAAAAAAAACAATAAATTACTTCAATAATTTTTTGAAAGATTATTGATATTGGAACAATTTCATTTTTATTACTTTCAAATATCTTAATTATTCTATTTCATTCTCCTTATTTTCAAATAAATTAACGATTTGAGGAAGAAATTTCAAGAGTTTGAAAAAAATGATTTTCTAAACTCCCATTCCCTCCCAGAACATTTGCAAAATAATTAAAACCGTAAATTTCCATTCTGAAAAAAAAACAACAAATTACTTCAATATTTTTTTAGAAGATTATTGATATTGGAAAAATTCCATTATCATTATTTTCAACTAAATTAATGATTTGAGGAGGAAATTTCAATAATTTCTCCGAAAAAAATTGTTTTCCACACTCCTATTTCTTTGGCGAATATTTACAAAATAATTCAAAGCATAAATTTCGTTCTGAAAAAAAGCAATAGATTACTTCAATAATTTTTTAAAAGATTATTGATATCAGAACAATTTCATTCTTATTATTTTTAACTAAATTAATGATTTGGGGAGGGAATTTCAATAGTTTCCCGCAAAAAAATGATTTTCCAAACTCTCATTCCCTTCAAGAACATTTATAAAATGATTTAAAACGTCAAACGTAAATGTTTTTCATTTTGAAAAAGAACAATAAATTACTTCAACAATTTTTTTAATGAATAAACGTAACGTCATCAGAAAGATTATTGCTATTAAATGCAATGATATTGTTCTCACTTGGCATTAGTCAAAATAGGTAGAACACTCTGCCACAGCTGATCAGTGATGTGTGGCATTCCCGAGAGTGCAATACCCCACAGTTGATGTCCATGTCTGGACAAAAATTTATGCAGCCCGTCGTCAGTTAAATTATCAGATCTGTCTAAATCCAGGGCTATGAGGTTCCTCGGGTTTCCGGCCTCGGTCCAGGCCTTGAGAACACTGTCGTTGAGGCCATTCAACTGTCCTGCACTCAGAAATCGCAGGCCTGGAATTCGCGTTAGCATGTCTATCAGACATTCAGTTGACAAATCCGTTGCTGTTATGTCTAGCTCTTGAATTGATGATTTTTCCCATTCCACTTGCATCACGAATTCACTCTGGAGATCTGAAAAATTAGGGAGATTACTCATGAGTCTTTTATTTATTTTGATTTTTAGGGATTACAATTTTCGAAGAGCAGGAGCATAAATAATTTATGGAAAATAATGGAAAAATTTATAATTTACATTAACAAAAAAACTACTTGAAGAGGAATTTATCGATTTTTTTACAACGAATGGGTAAAAAGAAAAAAAATTGAGAAATTCTTCAAAAAGTTTTTTCTATGAATGAATTTTTTCAATTTATCAAATAAAAATAATTTAACTCATTAGCTCCTAGCATCAAAGGAAACTTGAGTCTTCAAAAAAAATATTTGAAGAGGAATTTATCAATTTTTCTCACCAAATGGGAGAGAAAAATAAAACGAAAAAATAAAAAATTGAGTCATTCTTGAAATAGTGTTTTTATAAAAAAAAATTTCGAATTTACCAAATAAAAATAATTAAACTTACTAGTTCCCCGCATCAAAAGACACTTGAGTCTTCAGAAAAATTATTTGAAGAGGAATTTACCACTTTTTATAACGAATAGGTGAAAAAAAAAAAACTGATCAATTCTTCAAAAAGTGTTTTTATGAACAAAATTTTCAAATTTACCAAACAAAAATAACTAAACTCACTAGTTCCCCGCATCAAAATCCAAAAAACTATAAAAAACATCAACAACAATAATGTTTTTCATCAATTTTTTACAACGAATAGGTGAAAAAAAAAAAAAAAAAACTGATCAATTCTTCAAAAAGTGTTTTTATGACCAAAATTTTTAAATTCACCAAATAAAAATAACTAAACTCTCTACTTCCCCGCATCAAAATTCAAAAAACTATGAAAAACATCAACAACAATAATGTTTTTCATCAATTTTTTACAACGAATAGGTGAAGAAAAAATTTAAAAACCGATCACTTCATCAAAAAGTGTTTTTATGAACAAAATTTTCAAATTTACCAAACAAAAATAACTAAACTCACTAGTTCCCCGCATCAAAATCCAAAAAACTATGACGAACACCAACAGCAAAACTGTTTTTTATAAATTTTTCACAATGACTGAGTCAAGAGAAAAAACTGAATAATTCTTCAAAAACTGTTTTTACGAATAAATTTTCTAAATTTAACAAAAAAAAATTAAACTCACTAGTTCCCTGCATCAAAAGGCACCTGAGCCTCCTGCTCCTCTGAAACAGCGTCTTCATCGTCGACCCCGTTACTTTATTACAAAAATTCACTGCTAAACACTCAAGCTGAATGCAGTTGGAGGAAAATGCATCGATATGAGAGTCATCCACGAAATTAATTCCGTATAAATTGATGACTCGCAGATTTGGGGTCGCAGACTTGAGTTTGTGGACGTTTATCACCTCGTAGATCTCCTCCTCCTCCTCCTCGACCTTCTCGTACGTTCCTGAAACAATTTCCACGCGAAAAATCCACCATCAAAGGGTTTTCAATCGATCATCAATTACTGCTGAAGATTTCAATATTTAATTTATTTTCTACCGATCAAATGGAGAATCTCGAGGCCATTGATGAAGTTATAGATTTTCCTCATGAATCCCTCCATGAAGATGACCTCGGACAGACAAATGCACATGTATTTTAGTTTAGTGGGAAATGCCTGCATCTCGGAGAAGTCATGCAGCTGCATCGCCGTGGAGAAGTCCAGAAGCATGTGCGTCAGGTTTTGGCACTTGTTCGCCAATTCGTGGAGGACTGTGTGGGTTATCAGCTCGATTGGGAGCTCTATGTACCTCAGGGTGGCCCCAAAACGTTGACTGAAAGTGACAAAGACGAAATCATCATTCATCTCGGCTCCAAATACGACTAATTCCATTAAAAACATTGCGAAAACAGCTCTGTTCACAGACCGCATTCTGACAATTATGGGATTATCTCCTCAATGGTTGATCCTAGAGGAAAACGCGATGAGACTTTCTTGTAGGGAATGTCGAGGGCTGCAAAAAAGGTCTTTAGACATTTTTCGCTAAATCCAATAGTTTTTGAGATATTTGCAAAAAAGGAAGTTTAATTTTGAGTGAAAAGGATTTTTTTTTAATTTTGAATTGTGAAAATCGTTTGGGGGTTTCACCTGATGAGCTGAAGCAGCATCTCCAGGGAGTTGACGTGGAGTCCACTGACCTCCGGCCTCAGAGATACGTGCTTCCAAAGTGCTGTGTTGTAGGCAATAACGCGCCATCGCCTGCAGACGCGAGCGAGTTGACAGATTTCGCGGTGCGAGAGGTAACTGAACAGGTGGAGGAGCACCTTGTCCGGTAGTTTTTCTATTGTCTGAAAGCAAAAGAGGTTTTTCCTAAATTCAAATTGAACTAGGGGAGCATGGGGCAAAATGAAACACGGGGCAAAATGAAACAGTGGGAAAATCTCGTCATCTAAAGGAGATAGGACATTTTTGGAGAGAACCTTTTTTGTAGCTTGTAAAATTCTCTACAAAAAAAGTTTTCATGAAAATCGTTCTATCTCCCTTAGATCACAAGATTTTCTTGCTGTTTCATTTTGCCCCACCGTCCCCTACTTTTCGATAAATTACCCGGATTTCTTCAAATTACTTCCATTATTTTGTTGTACTTAGATCTTTTTGAGATCAATTCAATTTGTTATTTCACTGTTGAAAAATAACTCCCACTACCCTTCATAAGTAAAACCGTTTCCCTCAAAAATAAAATACAAAATCGAAATCCAAATATAATCTAAATACGCCAAAAGATTCGTCTCAGCACGACGAGAATAATTTTGGTCCTTTGCGCTTCATTAGTTGACCGGTTGTTTAATTATTATTAAACAGATTATTAAACAGATTAATTATTATTAAACAGATTATTAAACAGATTATTAAGGTTTTAAGGGTTTTTAATTGTTTGGAAATAATTTGGACATAACAATTTCTTTCAAGAACCAGGAGATTTTTGGGAATTACTGAGATACTTGTGATATCCAAATGAGCGGATAAGGGCACTCGTTGGGAATTAATTGGCGGTGTGCTGCCGAATTAGCCGGTTTTCAAATTTTCATTAAAAAATAATTAATTATTCTGGGTTTAAAACGATTTTACTTGGAGCCTGGGCGCATTGCGGCTGCCCCGGAATATTTCTGTTGGCTTCACGCAACTTTTAAGCGTTTAATTAAGTCAAACAGGGACATCTCGCTTGATCATTCAGTCGTTTGAAGTCATTTTTGCGAAATTTTCATTGAAAATTCATCAATTATTCCGCATTCAAACCGATTTTTTTAAATTAGGGCTGAGGTAGCATTACGGCTGCCCTAGAATATCCCTCTCGACATCATTCAACTCTTTGAAACCGCCTGAGGCCCCACCGAAACGTACTTGATCATTCAGTCGGTTTCATTAGCGGTTCAAGTCGATTTTAACTATTGCCCGGTTGTCCGTATCTCGTAATCTAAGGCAGCTAGCAAAACTTTTGTCATAACATTTTTTGTAGCCCTCAATTCGCTCTACAAAAAAGGTCATTACCAAAATTTCGGTATCTCCCTTTGATTCCGAGATATTCCCCAAAAACTAAACCGTTTCACCTCTTCGCTTCAAGTTTGAAGTCGTCGATCATTAAAAAATCACAAAAAATCGAGGAATTGTGCTAAATTGTTGTGCTAAATTTATTTGTCATGAACAATCACTCACAGTGCTGGCAAATCTGCTTTTAACAACACCCCCCTCCTCAACATACATCTGCGATGTCTCCAGGGCAATCTGTCCCCACACATCAACACCACCCAAATCCATTTTATCGTCTCAAATTTTCTCTTCAACTTTCCAAAGAAAAAAAAATTATGGAGAAGTGTAAACTAATGGGAAACAGAAGTAAATGTTGAACTGTAAACTTTGAGTTTTGGGCTTTTCGGTGGGGTAATTTTATTTATCGAGTTTGAGGAAGACTCACTAGTTCACTATTACGAGTCCGAGAAAATCCAACAAACTTTCTTACTCGCGGTTAATCTAATGGCGCAAGCGCAAGGGACCAAAATAAACCCAGTAGTTGGACTTAATTTTAAACGCCTCGGGGAACTGCAGGTTTTCCATTTGCATATATGTATTTTGGTTTTTGTTGGGATTGTGGGGAGATTAGTTAATACGGAAGAGGCGGGGATGATAATTCCTGTGTTTGTCTTTCATTTCTGTTGTGTTGGAGAGTGAGAAAAGGTGATGAAAAAATTTGACTTTAATTTTTCCCTCAATTATTAATTAATTTAGTAATTAATTAATCAACTAATTAATTTATTTATTTATTTACACATTTATATATTTATATATTTATTTATTCATACATTTATTTATTTATTTCTTTACTTATTTATTTATTCATTCATTTATTTATTCAATTTAATTCATCAATTGAAAAAATTAATAATGAATGAATTATGGAATTCCGAAAAAATTTCGTAAACGAAAAATAAACAGATTCTTCCTTTCTCATTAATTCTGGAATTGTGTCGGTAATGAGGGGATTTAAATTACAATGTCAAACGGCAATTTTTGTATAGAATTCAATTTTTAATAAAAAAATTTCCTTTCATTTCCCTTTCAAAACCTTTAATTACCGAAATAAATCAGGAATTGATGATGGAGATGAGGAATTTTGTTGCATACGACGCGACCCTGAGGCGCATTGAGATATTACATGACATTCTGTCATTGCACTGCCAAATTGTGAGTCATAAAATTTCGGAGATGTGATTTCTTTAATGAATAACAAAGTGAAATTAATTTTTCATTCACTTTTTTCACTTGAGATGTTTTCAGAATTTTTTTTCTGCATTTAATTGATCATTTTTCGATTACAAAATCATATAAAATGTTTATAAATAATTGTAAATCCCCAATATTATTTTTTCAGAAAGAAAATAACAAATTGTCCCAAAAAATGAAAGAAAAACTATGAAAATTAATTAACTGTCGATTTTTTAATGAATTAAAAATGAGAAAATTAAGTTTTCATTCACTTTTTTCACTTCAGATATTTTCATAATTTCTTTTCTGCATTCAATTGATTATGTTTCAATTATAAAATCATATAAAATATTTATAAATAATTGTAAACCCCCAGTAATATTTTTTCAAAAAGAAAATGCTCGAATTATCCCAAAAAACTAAAAAAAAATCATGAAAATGAATCAACTGTTGACTTTTAAATGAATAAAACGTGAGGAAATTAATTTTTCATTCCCTTCTTCCACTTCAGACGCTTTCCTAATTTTTTTCGGCATTCAATCGATTATTTTTCGATTGTAAAATCATATCAAATGTTTATAAATAATTGTAAACCCCCGATACTATTTTTTCAAAAACAAAATGTTCGAATTATCCCAAATAACTGAAAAAAAATCAAGAAAATGAGTTGAAGGTCGATTTCTATTCATTATCCTGGCAAGAAAACGGAATAATATTATGAAATTATTAATTACCGGTACATCCTTCCTCCGCATGCTCATATCTAAATCATCCCTGGATATGACACCAGCACCCTCCACCGTTAATTTCGTCCAGACACTCATGATTTAAACAAATAAAAAAACCAATTCACGAAGTCGTTTTTTTTTTTTTTTTTTTTTTTTTTTTTTTTTTTTTTTTTTTTTTTTTTTTTTTTTTTTTTTTTTTTTTTTTTTTTTTTTTTTTTTTTTTTTTTTTTTTTTTTTTTTTTTTTTTTTTTTTTTTTTTTTTTTTTTTTTTTTTTTTTTTTTTTTTTTTTTTTTTTTTTTTTTTTTTTTTTTTTTTTTTTTTTTTTTTTTTTTTTTTTTTTTTTTTTTTTTTTTTTTTTTTTTTTTTTTTTTTTTTTTTTTTTTTTTTTTTTTTTTTTTTTTTTTTTTTTTTTTTTTTTTTTTTTTTTTTTTTTTTTTTTTTTTTTTTTTTTTTTTTTTTTTTTTTTTTTTTTTTTTTTTTTTTTTTTTTTTTTTTTTTTTTTTTTTTTTTTTTTTTTTTTTTTTTTTTTTTTTTTTTTTTTTTTTTTTTTTTTTTTTTTTTTTTTTTTTTTTTTTTTTTTTTTTTTTTTTTTTTTTTTTTTTTTTTTTTTTTTTTTTTTTTTTTTTTTTTTTTTTTTTTTTTTTTTTTTTTTTTTTTTTTTTTTTTTTTTTTTTTTTTTTTTTTTTTTTTTTTTTTTTTTTTTTTTTTTTTTTTTTTTTTTTTTTTTTTTTTTTTTTTTTTTTTTTTTTTTTTTTTTTTTTTTTTTTTTTTTTTTTTTTTTTTTTTTTTTTTTTTTTTTTTTTTTTTTTTTTTTTTTTTTTTTTTTTTTTTTTTTTTTTTTTTTTTTTTTTTTTTTTTTTTTTTTTTTTTTTTTTTTTTTTTTTTTTTTTTTTTTTTTTTTTTTTTTTTTTTTTTTTTTTTTTTTTTTTTTTTTTTTTTTTTTTTTTTTTTTTTTTTTTTTTTTTTTTTTTTTTTTTTTTTTTTTTTTTTTTTTTTTTTTTTTTTTTTTTTTTTTTTTTTTTTTTTTTTTTTTTTTTTTTTTTTTAATAAAAACCCTACGAATTGTCAAGGCGCGACGTTTCACTGAACATACAGCTCAATCCGGCTGTTGACTGATTAAAAAAATCACCTGCGTAGATGGCTTTGTCTCGAAAACCGTCGCAAACTGACTGAACCAAATATTTCCCTAGACCGAAAATTTTCTGTACACATCCCATTTATCACAGACTGAGTCCCCGTTAATTCTATATTTAACCAGTTCAACTGCTGTCGATGTTCGATAATTAAATAAATCGGTAATTCACATGGTGCCGCCCACATAATCCTGAATTCCCCAATGAAAAGCACTCAAGATTAATTTTTTCTCCGACAAAGAAAAAAAATGAATAAAAAGAGTCAAAGAAAATTAAATCACGAAGAGAATTGAATTAATGTGATTTTTATAATTTTTTTACTCAATGAAAAATTAATAGTCGAGGCTTCGAGGGTGATGATACATTTGTTTGTAGGAATGATCATTTTTTTAATGAATTTTTTAGTAAATGAGTACATCAACGACAGTTGTAATCCCGGACTAGTACGCGGGAGAGAACACTTGCAACTGACTCGTCTTTAATTAGTTATAACTTCGCGGTGGGCATGCGGCCAAAATGTTATACCAAAAGGGAGGATTTATAGGCTTTGAAAACACAATTCCTTAATCAATTGTCATGAGTTAATTAATGCAGGTGTCAAAGAACAGAATTAATTTTTTTTTCTGATGTTTGAATATTTTTTTTTGTGAAGAATTAAGTTGTTCCCTCTTCACAGAGATAATTCATTAATTGACGAAATTGTTAATTAAAAAAGTTGGAGATACTTTTGTTAATTAGGGAATTCTTTCCGGTCTACAATAAATTCTTTGTTGAGAATTGAATTTTTTTTAGAAAAAAAAAACAATTCTTTAGTTAACTGAATTCAGTTATTTTTTTAAAAATAATTTTCGAGTAATTTTTTTGTGGAGAAATTTTTAATTAAAAAAATTGGGGATACTTTTGTTAATTAGGGAATTATTTCGGGTCTGGAATAAATGCTTTGTTAACAATTTAATTTCTTTCAGACAAAAAAAGTCCGATGACAATTTTTTTCGGATAACAGTTGTTATCGAAATAATTAATAATTTAAAAAATTGACTAATAATAAAAACACTTGATAATTGGAATTAATTATTAATTAATTTGTAATAATTAATTAATTAAATTAGTAATTGAATTATTATTAATTAATTACTCATTTATTTTAAAAAAATATTATCAATTTATTTATTAATTATTAATTCCGTTTATTAATTAATTTAGGAAAATTGTTTAATGAATGAAGATGACGTACAGTATTGCAATAGGCGGGTTTGACGACCTCCCAATCTTCATTATCCTGTTGAGCGATCTGCAGAGCAGCCGTCACACTCAGGGCATTCCATGTTGACATTCTTCGGGCATCCATAACGATTATTTATTTAAAAAATCCCACAAACACGATTTTTCGCCAATTAATTATTCAAACTTCCCTCAAACCTCAAAAAAACAATCAACAACAAAAATCAGCACTAGTTTTTATTAGTAGAATTTTAAAAATCATGTCGACAGAGTATTTATTTGATTAGAGACGTCGCAAAAACTCTATTCTATCGTCTGATGATTTTTCCGATTTTCTATTTCACGTTAGACTTCACTCGATCGTTCGCTGCAAAAAAGAACTTGCGGAGTCACGAGACCGCGTCACTCTGTTGTCCTGCGTTTATTTCTGGATTTAGCAGCGCGAATATTTTTCGCCGAATTTCATAATTGTGGGAATTATTATGAAACGATTATTTGGGCAGTTAGACTCACAGACTCAAACGGACAGTGAAAATTTTGATGAATCAAGATCATACTCAGTCATGGTGGCTGCAGCGAGTGAATGCCTCCGTCAAGTTTACGGTGCGTAGCATAAAAAACCTAAGATTGAGCGCAGTTTTGTTGATCCAGAAATAGATCCCTGGAGTGCTTCTCTCGGGCTCTCATTGTCGGCGGAACTGTCCGAATCTACAATGTTCCGAGAGAGAGAGGGAAGAAATGAGAGGAGAAATACTCGGTATCGGATGGCACATATTCGCGATAAATGTCCGCGTGTAGGCGATGTTCGCAAAATTCAACAGAAGAAATCAAATACTCGTGATGAATAGATCGTGGAATACCCATCCCAGGTTGAAGTGAGTTTGTAGGAAATGCTTGTGATACTTGGCTGAAAAAATTCAAAGATGGTGTGATAGAATTCTCATACGGAGAAGGACTCAATTCGGGATAAATACGTGTCTGAAATTCAGTTTCACTTTACCTCAAAGGTATTCTCTCTTCGTGTAATAATTCTACCACTCCATCCTTCAATTCCTTCAGTCAATATTACAAGCATTTCCTACGAGCTGATACTTCCCCTTGCGATGACCATCCAACGCGAATATTCATTGGAAATATTTGCAATCCAATACCGAGACGTAATTCATTATCGTCCAATGCTATGTCCCTCGATCTCTCCCAAATGATCCTCAAACCAAATAAATCCGCTGCATGAAAAATGTTTCTTCAATCAAGAATCTATATTCCAGCCGAAAGTCAGTTTTTCTCTCATTGTCATTGTAATAATGCGAATGAAAACCTCAGAAATTTCTCTTTAAAAATTTTTACGCCGCGATGCGCGATAAAAGTCGTGCCAACATTTCTCGCGGAATACAAAGGAATGAAGAACTTGAGAATACGAAACAGCGATGAGTTCTCAGTTTGCAGGGGATGCTTGCAGTTTTTCTCTCATTCTCATCGTAGTAATGCGAATGAAAACCCCAGGAATTTCTCTTTAAAAATTTTTCACCCACTTATAGACGAAAAACGCCTTCTCCAGCGAGGGAACACCTCCCAAAATAGGAAGTATATCACTTGTCGGGATGCCAGGAGGGAGACACGCGAGTCTTGGCTCGAGTCTGTAATTTTATCAAATTAAATTGGAGTAATGTGCATGTGACCTTCAAGTCCGCTCAATGCTCCCGCACATTCACCTGTCGCGGCCATTCAAATATGTAATCATTCCAGCTAGACGACATTAACATTATTAATTAATACAATTATTAATTAATTTTTTTCTAATTCTCTCAAGATTTTTTCATTTCTTTCTCAACATCCGTAAGACCAGAATTTCACCAAATATTTACTACTTCATTAATGAATTTCATAGAGATCTAGAAAAATTCTTCACATTTCCATTTTTTACAAGAATGAAAATCATTTCGATTAAACTCCCTCAATCCGCCCTCAATCTAATAATTTTAATTCCCATTTCCGTCACAAAATTCCATTGTCGCATCTATGAAAAGCCAATTGTGTTTATCATCCAAATATCTCAAGAACCACTCATTTTAGGACAAAATACCATTCCACCTTTTTTGCGGAGAATTAAATTCCCAACAGAATATGTCCTATAAAATTTCCTCCTAAACCCACTCGTTCTCCGGATAATCCCCAAACAATCCCCGCGATTTTTTCTCGCCCTCGAAAAATCAATAAATCAATCGATAAATTACCAACGATCGATACTCCCCGCCCACTCCGCCAAAAAATTCCAAAACTCCGCTGTAATCATTCATCTCAACCTTATCAATCAATCAATCACTCCGCAATCAATACCGAGAGATATCAAAACCCCTGAAACCCGATAAAAATATCTTCTCATCCCCTCATGTTTCAAAACCCGAAAAATCCCCTAAAAAAAAAATCTCCCTCCCCACAGGCGCCCCCCCCCCCCCCCNCCCCTACAACAACCTCAACCTCCCCTAAACTCCCCTAAAAAAAAATCCCAAACTACAAAAAAAATTTTTTTTCAATTCACAATTTTTTTCCCTCAATTTCCCTTTGATTTTCCTCATTTTCCCCATGTCCTCCTCCGCGTCTCTCACTGCGCAGCTGCGGCGTGACCCTAGCTCCCCTATAAACCCGCAACAATCGGCCATAATGCGCATTACGAGACTACAAGTGCGTGCGAGCGTATCGAATCCAAACAAACGGCAAAAAAAATCAAAACAATTCGAAAAAACCGTGAAAATTCAAAAAATCATCATTGAATCCGCCACCAGTGCTTTCCATGTCATCTCCAGTGATCATTAAACCCAGATCATCGAAAAATCATCGAGAAATAGGCGAAAATAATCCGAAATAGAACGACGCGAGCCGCTTTTTTCGTCGGTGGATTGAGTGAAGAATTAATGATTGACGCGTTATCAATTTGGATGAACGAGGGCGGGATGAAATAATAGGAGTTTATTGTACACCTCAATCAGTAACACCGACGCCCTAACATCGTGCGTCCGCACTCAGTCCTCAGTGTAGGCTAGTCGGTCGCCCGAGTGGTCGTCGTCGAATTGGAGAAGAAAATTTTCTCAAGTTGAAAGTTTTCGTTTTCTCGGGGAATTGACCGGAAAAAATCGGGGAATTGCGCTTCGACGGTTCAATTCGGGTGTCTCGCGCTCCGAATTGAGGGGCAAATTTTTTTTTCGGCGTTGTCATTGGACCTGCGGTGTATGGATCCGCGGGAGACACGAGATTCCAGGGGAAGAGCATCGGCCAGTGGGGAACGACTGTTTTGAGTTTTTTTTTGTTTCTTTTTTTTCGGAGCAAAATTGAGATTCTTCGGGGGCTCAGGCAGGGCTCGTTTGATGGAGGAATTGTGCAGGAATAATTGCACCAGCATGGAGGTTCTTGTGGAGAGTGTGAGGGACGAGGTCTGGGGACAGTGGGACGAGTTTGTGAATTATTTCGAGTATCAACCCTGGTTTTTCTCGCTGCTGGGGAGTGTTATGGTTGGACTCTCCGGAGTTTTTCCACTGCTGGTTATACCGATTGAGGATGGAGTCAATTTGAAGAATGGAGGTAATTTTTTGGGGGTTTTTGTTGGGTAATTTGAGGGTTTTTCGGTTTTTTGGGGGAGATTGGAGTGGGGGGTGTTTAGGTCACGATTATCGCGGTAAGGAGGGGGTTTAGGGGAAAATTTTGTATGAAAGTTTTTGTTGGGAATTTAATTTACTACAAAAAGTGTCCTATGACATTTTTATGTAGAACCGTTTTTTAATGAGATAATTGGAGATTTATAGAGTCAGATTTCATAGACATTGAAAAATCGGGGCTTTTTAGGAATTAGGGGATTATCTCGTTAATGGGAGATTTTAGGGGAAAATGTCAGAGGAAATTTTTGTGGAGAAATTAATTGCAGAGGAGAAATGTTTTATGATATTTTTTTGTATAGCCAGTTGTTAACGAGATAATTGAAGAATTACAAAATCAAATTTCGTCAGGAATAACAAGTCAAGTTCTTTTTATTAATTTTGAAGTTGTTTCATTAATAAGTGGGATTAAAGGGTATGGGCAACTCATTTTTATGGAGAATTTCCTGCAAAAATCTCTGAATTCTCTCGTAGGATCACTCGCTAACAAAATAGTTATGTAATTAAAAATTGAGAAATAATTTTAACAGAATTTTCAATGGATGAAATTCCTGAGAAATTAATTCTGCACATTTCGCATGAGAGATAATCCATTTGGACAGGATTTCAAAGAACAGGAAATTCTCGCAATATCGCTGTTTATACAAAATCGCCGGAAATTCTCAATTGAAAATTGAATTTATAACGACAGAAATTCAAAGAAATCAATCGCTGAAAATAATCAAAACAGTTTTTCTAGAGTGAATCCGTGGGAAAGTAAATAATGGTCGAGAATATCGATTGCTGGAGGAATTTTTCTTGAAATGTCGCACCTCAACTAATCCCCAGACATTCCAGAATGAAATAAACTCTTGTAATTTCAATTTCACAAGAATTTTCCTTGTCTTTTGTTGACATGCAAGAAAATATCGCTAAACCTATTCTCTTCAATCATCAATATCTCCCGAACAAACGATCCGATTCGAATCAGTGAGGTCTCATTTTGAAGCCCAAAAAAATATCTTCAAAATGAAGATAAAATTATCGTATTTCACTCTGCGGATCCTGAGTTATTGCCGATCAAAAACCAATGGCCTCCTCTCTATATTTTTCTAAAAATTCATATTATCAAGATAATCTTTAAAATTCTCCTCTAAATGACTTATACTTCATACATTTCAATTATTCAATTGAATGTGGATCAGGTTTTACAATAAAATCGTGCGGAATAATTGGAATAACACCTGAGAAACGAGAAATTCTGATCCTTTCTCAATTCCACTCCAAAGATTAAACTCTTGCGTAATTACAATTTCTGATTCGAATGAGCTAGGGCTCATTTTGAAGCCCAAAAAAATATCTTCAAAATGAAGATAAAATTATCGAATTTCACTCTGCGGATCCTGAGTTATTGCCGATCAAAAACCAATGGCCTCCTCTCTATATTTTTCTAAAAATTCATATTATCAAGATAATCTTTAAAATTCTCCTCTAAATGACTTATACTTCATACATTTCAATTATTCAATTGAATGTGGATCAGGTTTTACAATAAAATCGTGCGGAATAATTGGAATAACACCTGAGAAACGAGAAATTCTGATCCTTTCTCAATTCCACTCCAAAGATTAAACTCTTGCGTAATTACAATTTCTGATTCGAATGAGCTAGGGCTCATTTTGAAGCCCAAAAAAATATCTTCAAAATGAAGATAAAATTATCGTATTTCACTCTGCGGATCCTGAGTTATTGCCGATCAAAAACCAATGGCCTCCTCTCTATATTTTTCTAAAAATTCATATTATCAAGATAATCTTTAAAATTCTCCTCTAAATGACTTATACTTCGTACATTTCAATTATTCAATTGAATGTGGGTCAAGGAATCCCTCAAGGAATCCCATGATCAACTATCGGCGTTAAAAATAATCCAGAGTTTATTGATCTCCCGGTGCAAAGTCCCAAAGGTCGAATTTACCTATTAAACGTTCTACCAAGGCTGCCACAATATCCGATAAGAGCCTCGTCACGCGAAAATTCCCATCGGTACAAAGAAAATCATCGAGCCTAATTATTCACTCTGCTGTTTTGCAGTGAAATTAACGCGAGTGTTGAGGCACATTTTTGACGCGGGATATTCGTTAAGTCAGTCGAGTGGTCAGTGTTTGTGGTCTTATGAACAAAATATGTTTTTTATTCGATTAAATAATTTTCCATCTTTTAATTGTCTAGCGAAGCAGTAAAACGGTTTAAATAATTGAAAAATTACTTTTTTTTTATTACGAACATTACATAAATAATTTATAAACAATAAATTTTCCATTATAAAAATCATTAAATGGTTTAAATAATTGAGAAATTGAATTTTTTTAAATTACAAACATTTTATCAATAATTTATAAACAATTAATTTTCCACCATAAAATTCATTAAATGGTTTAAACAGTTTAAAAATTGCAATTTTTTCGATTACGAACATTCTGTAAATAATTTATAAACAATCAATTTTCCACCATAAAAATTATTAAAACGGTTTAAATAATTATAAAATTGCATTGTTTTAAATTACGAGTATTCTACAAATAATTTAAAATAATCAATTTCCCACCATAAAATTCATTGAAACGATTCAAATAATTGAAAAATTGCATTTTTTTAAATACGCACATTCTATAAATAATTTATAAACAATCAAGTTTCCACCATAAAAATCATTTGTTCGGGATCGTAACAAATTTATTAATTTTTTCAAATTTCATTAAAAATTTATTTCATGCCTAAAAAATAATGTTTTCGGAAGTTTAAACAATTCAATTATTCATTTATAAACAACGAATGTTTCGAAAAATTAGAATTCTGTGTAAAATGGTATTTTAATGACGCTGAATAATCATGATTCTTTTCAAATTTTTCTGACGCAACTTATTTGGTGATTATTTTCCTGACGACATATTTGGTGATAGAAAATGGTTGAATCTATAGTGGGAAAGGCATAGGCATAGAATATCTCCGAATCTAAGGAAGATAGCGAAATTTTTATAATATCCTTTTTTGTAGATCTCAATCCCCTCCACAAAAAAGTTCTTGACAAAAATTTAGCTATCTGTCTTAGATCCAGAGATATTCCCTGAAAAATGATCAGTAGTCAGAATCGACTTGAACCTTTCACCGCTTCGTTAATGAATTAGTATCTCAGGATTGAAGAGAACTAGGAAAACTTCGGGGAAAAATTTTTTTACAGGGAATTTAAAGAGCTACAGAAAATATCGGAATGCAAAAGGCATTATCTCCATTAGATTGCGAGGTGTCAATTATGGACTAAATAATTATTGTGATTGTGGATTAATTTAATTTTGTAGGTGAATCCATTTCCTACGAATTAATCGTCACATCACCAAATCCTTCATGTTCGCTCAATAAAAACACTCGATGACCCTCAAAATCGTGAGGAAGAATGTTGAAAGAAATAGTAGATAATCTGATATTGCCGTCACGTTGCGATATCGTATCGACTGAAAATACGGTATCTGCGAATTCAATTTACCTCAATCGTCAACATTTCATTCCACATTAAAAATAGGGAATTAAAAATAGGAGATGCTACCCGACAATTACGGGTCCCCTGTGTTCGAGAATTGATCATCACCCAGATGAATAATTAACGTAAATCGTAATACAACCGCGCAGTAACGCATAATTCCTCAAATTTGTTGATGACTCCCGGCGCTAGGCGTCGATAAACCACTATTTATCTGATGTCTTAATTGCGTAGGGGAAAACAGGGAATCCACGTGACTGTTATCACGAGTTGAAACACAAAGGAAAACCTCCGTCATTGTCAATGAGAACTCATCGCTGTTTTATATTCTCAAGTTCTTCATTCCTTTGTATTCCGCGAGAAATGTTGGCACGACTTTTATCGCGCATCGCAGCGTAAAAAATTTTTAAAGAGAAATTTCTGAGGTTTTCATTCGCATTATTACAATGACAATGAGAGAAAAACTGACTTTTGGCTGGAATATAGATTCTTGATTGAAGAAACATTTTTCATGCAGCGGATTTATTTGGTTTGAGGATCATTTGGGAGAGATCGAGGGACATAGCATTGGACGATAATGAATTACGTCTCGGTATTGGATTGCAAATATTTCCAATGAATATTCGCGTTGGATGGTCATCGCAAGGGGAAGTATCAGCTCGTAGGAAATGCTTGTAATATTGACTGAAGGAATTGAAGGATGGAGTGGTAGAATTATTACACGAAGAGAGAATACCTTTGAGGTAAAGTGAAACTGAATTTCAGACACGTATTTATCCCGAATTGAGTCCTTCTCCGTATGAGAATTCTATCACACCATCTTTGAATTTTTTCAGCCAAGTATCACAAGCATTTCCTACAAACTCACTTCAACCTGGGATGGGTATTCCACGATACTATTTATCACGAGTATTTGATTTCTTCTGTTGAATGTAGCAACATCGCGAATGTATACCATTTGATACCGAATAATTTATCTACCCCAGTGTGCGTATCGTAGGAAACCATTGACCTACGAACTGTGCACTAAAAACTTCAGTTTCCAAAGGCCGTAAACCGACAGAACTGCATCCTCAATATTACATCATAAAACAGTCGTAAAAACCCAGTGTTTTCGTCGCTGTTATCTGTTCCATGCGAATATGCAGATGTACTCCGGCAAATGGCCATTCCACATGGCCATTAGTCATAATAAAAACTTTTCTCGTGACTAAACTTCCTCTGAAATCGAATATCACGGGATTACTCACTAGCCTATTGTGACAAAATATTTTGCCTCAGACAATGCGTCATTTTCCTCAATCATACGTATCAAATAGAGTTGTTGATGGACTCTTCTTCACAATCGTAACAGGAAGAATTGAATCCATCGCTAAATATGAGGCCGCAATAATAATCCGTTCATTCAATATTCTTCCTCGAAAACCACATAGTGAAACATAATTTTTTTCTATGCAAAATTGCATGTGAATTTTTTTAAAACAATCATTTTTGTCGTGCGGATAATCATCTTCAGATATTTTGCTGGAAATTCAATCCTTTTCACAGCGTGTCACACGTCAAAATTCATATAAGGGTCAGCCCCTCATGTAGCCCCTCTTACGTATGAAGAACCTTTCTTTTATTTATTCCTCATAAAAAATCGCTTGTTCGTCCTGAAAACACTGCCGTCATCTTGACCAAATGCAATCTATCCAGTGATCGGCAGTGATTATTCCAGAAATATTAAGAAAATTATTTCCCCAAATAACCGAAATCATTCGTTCATCATTGGAACTTGGAAAATAATAAATAATTGAGAATTAAAATTTTTTCAATAACTATTAGGTAAATAATTGGAAATTTTCCAAAAAATATTAGCGATTATCAAATAATCGTCATTCTTCCGAATTCGATTATTGATTGGTAAAATAATTCGGAATTCAAATATTTAATTGTCGATTAATTTAACAATTAAAATTCAGCAGCGAAGCGGTAAACCGGTTTGAGTTGACTTAGCTCTTTGCTGAGTTTTCGAAGAATATCTCCGAATCTAAGAGAAATAGCGATATCTTCATTACGACTTTTTTTGTAGCTCTCAATTCGCGCTACAAAAAAGGTAATTACAAAAAATTACTATCTCCCTTAGGTTCCGAGATATTTATCAAAAGCTGATCAATTGCCTAAATCGACTTAAACCGATTTATCGCTCCGCTCCTGAATTGTCAAGTTCTATTACTTGATTGAGTGTTTATGAAATTAATGGTAATGATAATTTATGATTATGCCTATCTCTGAATCTTTCACTATTTTCTTTTAAATGATTATCAGTCAAACATGATACACAACATGGTGCACAGTTTCCCGCTCTTCCTCTATCGAAATCTTATCTGAACTTTTTTTTTCCACAAATGATTAATGATTAAGTCAACGAGAAATACCACGAGCCATTTCCTCATTTACGAAACGAAGCATAAAACAGTGCCCTATCAATTGCCAACAGACTCCCCGGAATATGAAACGTACTTATTGGAGAGTAAAATCTCCTTCGCGTCTCTGGGGACAAAATAGAACTTCTACTCGGTTGAGTCCGAGTTTATCGGCCCTCAGCAGTCGCACGTACTTTTATCTCAAATGCGCAGTGTTTTGGCACGTGGCAGTAGATGAAAACATCATAAACAACGAGTGAAATTCCTCGCAGGGGAGCAATGCAACATCGTGCAATCGCTAGACGCATCGCGGTTTCCTATTCAACGACAAAAATCTAATTATCTCGTTAATGAGTCACTCGACGGGAAAATGTCATAAGAAATTTTTTGTGGGAAATTGAATTCTCCACAAAAAATATCTTGTGACATTTTCTCGTAAATCACCTCAGCTCCGGGATAATTACAAAATTAGAAAATTGAGGGGTTTTTTAATTAATTTTTGTTTTTGTTTTTATTCAGCGGGGGCTGGAACACTTCGATTACTCCTGAGTTTTGCTGTTGGTGGACTCCTGGGTGATGTCTTCCTCCATCTGTTGCCCGAGGCGTGGGGAAATAAATCGTTGAACACGAGTAAGTAATGAGAGAAAGTTGGAAAAATCACGATTCAAATTGTTGAAGCATCCATTGCCAGACTAAACAGGAAAATGTAGGATGTCGTTCTATTATTGGAGTTATCTCTGTGGAGTCGTGTGCAGGCGGAGATTAAAATGTTGGCCGGCTGTGGAGATCGAAGGATCAAGAGCATTGAATAACCCATTTTTTTCATATTCGATTAATCTAAATGTTTCTACTTTTAACGCATTGTTAGCATTTATTTATCAACTCTCAACATTAGACTCGGCATTTTCACTGGAAAACATGAAAACAAGATTGTAGATTGTGACCGCAGATTATTTTTTCAAATTCGATAATTTGTTGCGAGCAAATTTGAGAAATATATCGAAAAAAACTATGAACGATTTGTTTTTTTGTAATATCTCGGTATCTAGTGGAGATAGCGGAATTATTGACTCGGCTTTTTTTGTGGGAAATTTTGAGGGCTACAAAAAAGGTTCTGATGAAAGTGTCGCTATCTCCCTTAGATTTCGAGTTATTCCCAAAAAACTGAAGCGCAATTTTTATTAGTTCACGAGAAAAATTAGTTCTTCGCTTCTGAGAACAGGAAAAATTAGATGAAATTATTTCTGGCAGAGTTTATGTCTCACTTAGTGATACCCAGCACATGCAAATGATCTAATACAGACGTAGAAGCCAGAATGCTGTGTCATGTGCCGCAGTGGGTTCACATGTGCACATATTGCGAGCAATCTAGACCGATTCAGCGTCTCCACTCTATTGTCCAACAATCTGAATAATCATCCTCCCCCGGACATTCCATCCGAGTTCCTATCATCCCACGATTACAAATTCAATAATGAAATCGTTATTTTCTTTTTTTTAACGTTTTTCCTTTGGATTATAATTTTTTTCATCGGGAAAAGACAAATTTCGAATGAATTTGCTTTTTCTGTTTAATTTCTGTTTTAGAAAAATTAATTAGTTGATGAATAAATAATTGGAGAAGTTTTTAATGATGATTGAATGAAAAATCGTATTTCTATTCAATTTTCATGAAATAGTTTAAAGTATTGCAAATTCAATAATTAAATAATCGTTTTTTAGTTTTTTTAAATCGTTTTTTTCTTTGAATTAAATCATTCCTTTTTTGTTGGGGAAAAATCATTCAAATGAATTGGCTTTTTTATAATTTTATATTTTTATCATGATTTTTTTTATTAATATAAATGAACAAAATGAACAAAAATCGTATTTGCATTCTATTTTCATGGAACAGTCCCGAAATCGTTATTTTCTATTCTTTAAAATTGTTTTTCTTCGAATTGAATAATTATTTTGTTAAAAAACAAATTCCACGTGAATTTTATTAATTTTTTTTCGATTTTTATGGGGAAATAAAGCAGGGAACACTATTCTATTTTTTATTCCAATAGAAAATAAAACATGGGGTGTTTAATTTCCGTTATGGAGCCAAGAATTAATAAATAAACTTATTCGAATAATAATAATTAATTATAAATTATTATTAATCATTAAAAATTATAATTTTATAATTTTTTTATATAATTATATAATTATATATTTTAGACAATAATTTTATTATTGTCTTTTTCATATTAATTAATTATTAAAAGTGGCTTTTCCATTCGATTTCCATGAAATCGTACGGAATATTAATCGCATGGGGAATACAACTCCATCTAATGCAGCATAACTGGACAGTTGGGAATGAGACCTTGCATCACTTAACGTGTAATCATCAATAACTCGAATGACTCGATCGGGCACTACACGATGGCCATTATTGAGAATCATTTCAAGGACGAGCAGTCGAGTGCAGGTCTCTCACTGGGTTATCATCGATTCTCTCGAGCACTTTGTATCATTCTCGAGCAATCAGACTACTATCAATGATTTTGAATTATCTTGGGGATATTACTAATCAGTCTAGAGATTTTTATTCGCTCTCCCTAATTTTTTGAGATAAGTTGATTGACAATTGCGGTATTATCCCGATAATGAGACGTCTGACGAAAAAATGTCGCAGAACATTTTTTCTAGAGGATTCAATTTTCTACAAAAGTGATCCTCTTGGATTTTTAGCTAGGACCACTCGTTCAGGAGATACTGGAACAATTAAGTGAAGATTGCAGTTCATGACTAATTCGACTCTTTATTAATTTCTTGATTATCTCCTCAATGAGTGGCTTTAGGAGAAAAAAGTGTTGAATGCTTTTTGTCGGAAATTTATTTTTCTACAAAAAAAATTTGTGACTTTTCCTTCTAAAGTCAATCGTTCTCTAGTTATTTGCGAAATTCGTGGAGAAGACAATTTTTTTTTCGTTCATTCACTCAATTTTACACTTATTTTCCCACGAATATCTCCAAATCCACTGCAGCCGTCGAAATTATTACAAAACCATTGATTACAGTCCTCACAACTCCGCAGAATCAATTTAAAAAAAATCAAAATTGATGAATTTTAAGGGAAAAAGGCGAAATTTGGGAAAAAAATTGAATAAAATGATTTCTATTAATTGTAGACTCGACAAAAGATCACCCCTCGATTCTCTGTGGCCTCTGGGTCCTCACTGGCTTCCTCGTATTCATAATAGCCGAAAAAATATTCGTGGGTAGCAATGACGAGGACGAAGAAGACGACAATGAGACTGATGAGCCCAAAGTCTTTCAGAATAACAATAAGAAGGTGCACGCGCACAATAATCACCAGAATGGCCACTACTTCCACCTCAACAACATTACGAAGAAGAATGGCTTTGCCAATGGGGTTGTCAAGCCGAGTAAGGACGAAATATACAGCAGAAGTGAAATGCAAAAGATTGATTATTCCATCATCACCAAGTGCAACGGTTTTTCCAAGGAAATTATCGCACAGAATGGGTTTGCGAAGGGACCGAGGGACGACGATAAGAGGGAAAAGAGGGATAAGCCGAAGGGAAAGCATATCAGTGGATATCTGAACCTCATGGCTAATTGCATTGATAATTTCACTCATGGCTTGGCTGTTGGGGGATCCTTTCTCGTCTCCTTCAGGCTCGGGGCGCTCACCACGTTCGCCATTCTCATTCATGAGATTCCGCATGAGGTCGGGGATTTTGCGATTCTACTCAAGAGCGGGTTCAACAGGTGGGATGCTGCGCGGGCGCAACTCATCACTGCCACGGGAGGGATTCTTGGGGCTTTAGTTGCTGTTGCCTTTTCTGGGAGCGGAGTTGGTGAGTTTGGGGGGGATTAATTCAGTTATTCATTGAGGTGTTCGGTGATGATGTGAAATTCATTGATGAAAAACGCGTGGTTTTTTTTAAAGGGGAATTCTAATTCGAATTTTATTGAATTTATTGAGATATTTGGTTTTTTGATTCGGTGAAGATTGAGGGATTAAACTTTTTTTTTTTTTATTAATTCTCAAACTGATTCCATAATTTCAAAAAGAATGAGATTTTGCTCGGTGATGATGTGAAATCGATTGATGAAAAACGCGTGGTTTTTTTTAAAGGGGAATTCTAATTCGAATTTTATTGAATTTATTGAGATATTTGGTTTTTTGATTCGATGAACATTGAGGGAATAAACTTTTTTTTTTTTTAATTAATTCTCAAACTGATTCCATAATTACAAAAAGAAGGAGATTTTGATCGGTGATGATGTGAAATTGATTGATGAAAAACGCGTGGTTTTTTTTAAAGGGGAATTCTAATTCGAATTTTATTGAATTTATTGAGATATTTGGTTTTTTGATTCGGGGAAGATTGAGGGAATAAACTTTTTTTTTTTTTAATTAATTCTCAAACTGATTCCATAATTACAAAAAGAATGAGATTTTGCAAAAGTTGAATTCACGATGTTGATTCTTCTTATTTACATTTTGTGAAAATCCTGGAGACTAGTGTGCCCAGATAAGAATGTCAAGAGTTAAATTATTCGTCAATGATATGAAATTAATGAAAAAACACATGGATTTTTTTGAAAGGAGATAATCCTAATTTTAAAGAATTTATTGAGACAGTTGTTTTTTTTTTTGATTCGGTGAAGATTGAGGGAATAAACTTTTTTTTTTTAATTAATTCTCAAACTGATTCCATAATTACAAAAAGAATGAGATTTTGCAAAAGTTGAATTCACGATGTTGATTCTTCTTATTTACATTTTGTGAAAATCCTGGAGACTAGTGTGCCCAGATAAGAATGTCAAGAGTTAAATTATTCGTCAATGATATGAAATTAATGAAAAAACACATGGATTTTTTTGAAAGGAGATAATCCTAATTTTAAAGAATTTATTGAGACAGTTGTTTTTTTTTTTTGATTCTGTGAATATTGAGGGAATAATTTTTTGTATTTATTTATTTTTTACATTATTAATTCTCGAGCTAATTTCATAATTACAAAAAGAATAAGATTTTGCACAAATTAAATTCACGATATTGATTGCTTTTATTTTTGTTTTGTCAAAATCCTTTAATGAAATTCTACTTTCCACAAAAATTCAATTTGGCTTTTTTTGTACACCTTAATCACCATCGAGATAATAATAATTATATAACAATTAAATTTTTTGCACTTGACAATGATCTGAGATTAATTAATTTTTTAAAAAATATTTTTTTCGAAAGAAAATTCCAATTTTATTGAATTTATTGAGACATTTGCTTCATCAATCCTGTGAACATTGAGGGAATAAATTACTTTAGGAGGAATTGTCAAGTGCTTTTTTTATATAAAAAATTGAGTTTTCTGCACAAAAATTTCGAATTTTTTTTCTAAAATCAAATATTTTCAAGACACAATATTAATTGTCAAGCTAATTTCATAATTATTTTTATACTATAATTATTATTAATCTCTACATCATAATTATTATCAATTATAATTATTATGAATTCTCAAGCAAATTCCATAATTTCAAAAAGAACGAGATTTTGTAAAAATTAATTTGAACTTTTTTCCCGCACCCCGAGATGATGATAATTACATAACAATTATATTTAACGCACTCGACTTTCCCCCAATTTCATGCTTTTTCCTGAAAAACCATTGCAGAATCACGAACCAGTTGGATATTACCATTCACCGCAGGTGGTTTTTTGCACATTGGTCTCGTAACAGTCCTACCAGAGCTCCTGCAAGAGTCTAATCCCAAGGAATCGATGAAGCAGTTGGGTGCACTACTGAGTGGTATAACGATAATGGCAATACTGACGATACTTTGTGACTGAGGCAAAATCGTGTGGCATTTTGTCTCACACAAATGTTGAATTCTACTCAAATACCCCAAATAGATGTAGAATCGAGGCTTTAAGGATAGCAGGAACAAGAGGACCGAATTGACTGATAAATGTGTGATGTTTCTTAGCAAAAGAATAAGAAAATGGGAAAAAAAATTGAAGCAATCTGCTATCAGTTGAGCGTTTGTTCTCTTCATTTAATGGAAATTATCGTGATTATTTTTTTTTAGTGGAACCTCGCAGTGCGAGGGAGATTATTTTCGAACAATTTATTATATCTGAATGATAAGAATGAGACGAGATGAGAAGATGAAATTCGTTGACAATTTAGGGAAGATCCCACTATTTCGCGAATATCTCGAGAACTAGTGGGTTTAGAAGAAAATGTGAGAAAATTTTTTTTGTTGGAAATTTAATTTTCTGCAGAAAAGGTCCTGACACTTTTCTTTCCAAACTCAGTATTTTTCGAGTTATTCAGGAAATAGTGCGTCCAAAAATCAATCTTTCACTATTTTGCTGCAGAATTGCTCTGACCAGTGAAAAAAATCGAACAAAAATTGAAAACGGAATAAAATACTCGTTATCTCCGTTATTATTTTTCAATTACTCTTTTTCTTAAATATATTTTCACGTATTGTTAGTCCATTTTCATAGTCTAATTTTTCTGTATAAATAAACAAATTAAGAGAAACAGTTAGTGGCACTCCGCAAATGTTGAATCAGACGTGAGTTTTCAATTAAAAAGTATTAGTCGATTGATAAATTCCGCAGTTATTGAATTGTGCATGATTATTGGATGAAATTTATTGACATGAATGAACAAATCAGAAGGAATTCAGTTGTGAAGAAACAAAAGTCAATTTTTCAATCTTGTTAAATGTTCAATTATCCCCTTAATGAGTGGATTTATGGGAAAATGCGATAAGACACTTTTTGAAGGAAATTTAATCCTCTACGAAAAAGGTTCTATGGTATTTTGTTGTAGGACCACTCATTACTGAGATTATTGAGGATTTAGAAAGTGCGATTGACTTCACCGGAGAATTCTCCACTCGAGTGCGAGAAAAATTGTTTAATAATGCGCGAGTGCCTTGATCACGGCTCTGTAAATAGGCGATGATTGACGAAAATGCACGAGAATTTATTTTGTTACTTTGATGTGCATTTTCGGATGGTTTTTCACCTGTATTTGACCTTTGTAACAAAATTCGTATTTTCTAAACTTCAGAAAAGAATTTTTGTAATTGATTAGTTGAAATCATGTAGTTGAATGGGTTTGAAAGACTTAATTCATCGGTGGAATATGTAAAAAACCGTACAATTGGCTTGTAAATAAAAGAAATATGTGAGTCTGTGACTTAATTAATTCTCATCATTCATAAAACTATTGGGTTTAAAGGGGACTAAGAGAAAATATTTTCTGTGGGGAATTCAATTCTCCAGAGAAATATTTCTGCACTGAGTAAACCATTTTAAAAATCCGAGACATTTTTTATAAATTAATCAAATGGGTTTAGAACAAACTAAGAGGAAATATTTGTTGTGGAAAATTAATTTTTCCAGAAAAATATATCTTCATTGAGAAAAAACATGTTCTTAAACAAGTCTTGTTTGAAAATAATAAAAATCACAAGTTGAAAATTCCATTCAACATTGAGAACATGTTTCTTCTCTCAATACACTAGTAAATAATTTTTTAAACAAATTAATCAAATGAGTTTAGAACAAACTAAGAGGAAATATTTGTTGTGGGAAATTAATTTTTCCAGAAAAATATATCTTCATTGAGAAAAAACATGTTCTTAAACAAGTCTTGTTTGAAAATAATAAAAATCACAAGTTGAAAATTCCATTCAACATTGAGAACATGTTTCTTCTCTCAATACACTAGTAAATAATTTTTTAAACAAATTAATCAAATGAGTTTAGAACAAACTAAGAGGAAATATTTGTTGTGGGAAATTAATTTTTCCAGAAAAATATATCTTCATTGAGAAAAAACATGTTCTTAAACAAGTCTTGTTTGAAAATAATAAAAATCACAAGTTGAAAATTCCATTCAACATTGAGAACATGTTTTTTCTGTCAATCCACTACTAAAACGTTTTAAAAATTCAACACAATTTTTTTATAAATTAATCCAAAATTTATTTAGCATAAAAACATCACTCCCTCAGTCATCCTAACAATTTACAATTCATCGTGAACATCTCCAAACACGAGAGACCTCAGCCTCAGTATCTGCTTCGACAGATTCTCCCTAATCTCCAGCTCATCAGCTCTCGCTGCCCTCTCCACCGTCCCATAATCCCCCACTAGCCCCTCGACAGCGTCGAACAAAGAGTTCTCAGGGTCCCTGAACACCTCCCTGCAGGTTCCACTCAACGTGATCATGTTCTCAAGGACAATCTCTAAAAATTCGTGGCTCATCGTGACCTCCTTGTAATTCTTGATGATTAAATTAGACAGATATTTGCAGTAATTATGCAGCAACAACTTCCTCTCGAACTCAGTCCTCTCGTACTCCCTGATCTTCCTCATCCTGAGGCCCTCGTCCTCCGTATTTTTTATGTTCTCTCGTTCTATCGAAAGATCAGTGATCAGTTTCATGACTCGAAGCTGGACCTGGAGCAGGGATGGCCATCAATATTACAATTCTCCAATGTTAAAAAGATTTTCAAGTCATATTGATCAAGATTTAAATAGGGGAGAGTGGGGCAAAATGAAACAGTCGAAAAAATTGTTTTCTTAAATATTTTTTTTATCTTTTCAGTTTTGTTTATGAACTTTTTTTTATTCTTGAGAGTAATAATGAGAACAATAATTTTCTATTTAGTAGAATGAAAAATTATTGGGGAGTTTTGACGGGAGAAGATATTGTCAATGGATTAATAGAAAAGAAAATAGCAAAGTCTAAAGTCTAAAGTCTAAAAAAGGATAATGCGATGCCCAATTTCAATCGAATGAAAAAAGTAGAGTGTAATCTGCCTAATTTAATCAATTGAATCATAATCAGTTGAATTATGAGACGAATAGAAAATTATTATTCTCATCTGCACTCTCAATAATGAAAAAAGTTGATGAAAAAAATTCACAAAATAAAATTTTTTTTTGCTTGAATCGCGTGAAACTGTCATTTTTCGGCTGTTTCATTTTGCCTCACTCTCCCCTATGCTAATCTACATTAAAAAATAGTAGAATAATTGCTAATCCAAATTTCCAATTGACGATGAATTAAATATTAAAAAATACAGAACTATAAATTCTCTGTTAAGTAGATAATACTAAATTTCTCATAAGAGATTTCCGATTATCCAATGCAGTAGCGAAGAGGTAAAACAGTTTTTAGCGAATATCTCGGAATCTAAGGGAGATAGCAAAATTTTTGTCAAGTCCTTTTTTGTAGCGCTCAATTTGCTCTAGAAAAAAGGTTATTACAAAAATGTCATTATCTCCTTTAGATTCGGAGATATTCTTCAAAAACTCGGCTAAGAGATGAGTCGACTTGAACCGTTTTACCACGTCGCTAGCGAATTAATCGTCAATCTTCCCAACTCAATTACTGATTAACGAATGACTCGAAATTGAACTATTTAAATTGACGATCACTTCAATAATTAAAATTTTAGGATGATATAAGCAATAACCAATTGACTACTTAATAATTTAACAGTCATTATAATTTACGAATACGGCTACCCCTGACCTGGACGTCTCCGTCCTCGAGGATTTTCCCGAAGATCTCGAGGCCCCCGTGGTCTATGAGGACCTTCTGGGCCGCTGGGAACTGACGGACCAGGGCCCCCAGGGCGAACATGCAGCGAGACTGCAGGGACACTCGACTGGCAACTGTCAGCGTGTGCAGGAGCTTCTGCACTAGGTCTGCGTTCATCGCTCGCAACTGGACTTTGGGGTTCGACTGAACCGATGTGCCCAGGATTATCAGGGCCTCGATCTTCACGTCGTCGTTCGTTATGTTGAGACAAGGGGAGATTATTTTTTCCATGCTGAGGGGCAATGGAAAAATTAAGAATAAGGATAAGAATTGATTTTGTGAAGTAGTCAAATTGGGGTTGAATTTAACGTTTTTGTTAACGACGGGATTATCTTGGTGATGAGTGGGTTTAGGGGGAAATGTGAAGAGAATTATTTTGTAGGAAATTTCAAGAGGAACAAAAAAGATTTTCTCATGTTTTATTGTACCTTCAGTCGTTTTTGAGATAATTAAAATTAATTTGTCTCTAGAATTAACTTCTCTGTTCTTAAAATGCGTAGAAATATTTTCGGGAAGACTAGATTTGGGAAAAAAATGGCAAAAAACATTTTTTGTAGAGAATTTCCTCAGCTACAAAAAATTTCTTTTCACCTTTTTGGTCTAGCCCAAGTGTTTATGGAGATACTCATGAAATAATCGAATAAAAAATGAGATCAATTCATGAAAAATGGGAAAAATCGACGTCCTTACCCTCCTAAGTCCGCAAACAACTGGGCATTATCGACCTGATGTAATAAAAACTCCAGATCATTAAAAATCTGGAGAACTGCATCAGCTTCAGACTTCGGGAGTGTTCCTGACGCCAGAGACTTCTCATAGCTCTTGAATTTGCTTAAAATATTAGTCACAATTTCTGAATCAGTCGTTATGTTCATCTCCAGGGCTTTGAAGTCCTCTTTTATCTCTTCGTAACTCCTGAAGGCCTTCTTGATCCCTTCCTGGTGCTCCTGAAACCCAAAACCAGTAGTTTTCATTTAAAAATTCAGTGAAAATCATCTAAAAAAATTGAGAATCCATTTACCAACGAATCAGCTCCATCGCCAGTCTCCAATTTAATCTTTTTCAGTCTCTCCTTCAACTCATCAATTGATAAAACAAGATCATTAGCTGCGTCATGGAGAACTGCGTCTGAATGCAGAGACAATGATTTCATTTTCTTGTCGTCAATATTCTCTCGAGTCTCGTTATCCTCTTCTAGTAATTTAGCCTCTGTCGCCCCTGTCTGGAAATTGTGCCTCACGTGGAGACCTTTGGGTATTGGTTGACCTAATGAAAGACCAAATAAATCAATTAATTAATTAATTAACAATCAATTAAAACTGAAATAATAAAAACGTTTTTTTACCAAGTTCATAAATTTCATGCCGACAAATCGACGATTATCTCACTAACGAGAGGTTTTAGGAGACAAAATCACAGAACATTTTTTGTAGGAAATTTAATTATGTAAAAAAAAGATTTTTTGACATTTTCTCGTCAGTCGAGTCGTTGCCGAGATAATAAGCAAAAACGGGAGGAAAAAAATCTCAAAATGAGGAAATTACTATTGAACATTCGTAATGATGGATGCAAGGATAATTAATTATAATTTTTACCTTTTTTCACCGTCTGCCACTCGCTGGTGGCCACGAAAACGCTGGAACTGTTCTCGCAACTGCCCAGCACGCCGAATAAACAAACAACAATGCATACCGTAAAAATCCTCATGTTGACAGGGAATTTACGAGTTTTCGGATTTCTCGAGAATTTTCTGTCAATTTCACTTGACACAAAATCGGAATTTCACGTCCAGAGGCTTGTCGCACGTTTAACCCTCAGTTGTTTAACGATTTTCTTGCGAATGTTCGATCATTACTGGGGAATAACTTCACCGGTGACAAATGGTGATGATAACCATCACTGATGTGCAGGAAATACACGTCAGTTCATTGGGAATTCAAACGTGTATAAATCGTCACATGTTGCTCAAGAAAAAAAACAACGGGCTACATTATTCGGTTAAGTAAGTCCCTGGGGTATCGACTGGGTATTTTTGTGTGGAGAAGAGATTTTTTTGAATTTGAAGCGAAATTAAGAAAAAATTCCAAGTGAAGTGAATTTAGCTTTGCATTCGAGGGAATGCATTTCCACTACTTTGGCGGTATCTTCGAGAGGATTGGTTTGAGGAAAAAATACATTCAGACCTTTTTTGTGGAGATTTGAATTCTCTAGAAAAAGTTCCTCTGACATTTTCTCAGAAAATGGCTCATTGGCAGGATAATTGAGTAATTAATGAACCCATAGTTCCCTTTTCTAGTGAATTATTTCAGATGTTCGCAAAATGAATAAAAATTTGCAAGAATTGGAGACAATAGCTTTGCAATATTTTTGTATAAAGCAATAACTGAATAAATAAGATAAAATTGATGAAAAATGTGAAATACAAGTTGAAAAAAATAAAAGTAGGCATTTTTGTTAAATAAAAATAATATCACACAATAATATCATTTTAACAAAATTATATTCTATGAATATTTAAAAATATGTAGGACAGAAAAATTTAAATATATTGTAAATATTCATAGAATATAATTCACATAACTTATATTCATAGAATATAGTTTTTTTAAAATATGTAGTACAAAAAAATTTAAATTAATTCAATAAACTTTAAATAAACTTGTTCAAACCAAATTTTCCTGTCCAATTTTGCCTTCTCACAAAAATTTCCACTTGTCAATAGTTTTGTATTCGCGATAAATGACTAAATAAGATAAAATTGACAAAAAATGTGAAATAAAAGTAAAAGTTCAAGGGAATTTTAGTTAAATAAAAACCACACAACGATATCATTTTTAAAAACTCGTATATTATGAATATTTGAAAACATGTAGAGCCTTTATATACCATATATTTACTCGTTCTGTTACTCACGAGAACAAATACTTGTTCCCTAGAAGAAATAAAAAAAGAGTTCTCTCAAAATAATCAGTTAATCAATTGCAAACTCTGGAAAATCTGGAAATGCCATTTCCCCAGATTCTCCTCGAGTTTTTTTGTTCACGACAGATAATCGGGTATTTCGTTATATTACAGTTAACACGAGTCACATTATTGTACAATTATTTCTTCAGAGCCACTGTACATCGGATGAGTATAAACTTTAGTTGTTTCACCCGGAATTGTTGTTGGACATTGCAACGCCTCAATATTATTTAATCTATCCAATAATTCAGTAGTAGAGAACTGAAAAGAGGGAATGCATTTTCACTATTTCGCGAATATCTTCGAGAGGAAGGGTTTGAGGGAAAAATACATTTAGACCTTTTTTGCAGAGATTTTGATTCTTCGCAAGAAGTTCCTCTGACATTTTCTCGTAAAATGACTCATTAGCAAGATAATTCGCTAATTAACAAACTCATATTTCCTTCTTCTACTGAATTACTCCAGATATTCGCAAAATTAATAATAAAAATTGTCCCAAATTCTCGATTCTCCACTACGTTGATCATCTCTTTTTATTCCTTAATCATGAATCAGCAAATGAGGATCGACTGTCGATCGTGGATACAAATAAAGCGGTACAGAACGATTTATCAATCAAAGTTGTAAAATGTTTTTTTCCTTCCTTCATTAAATACAAATTGGGGATTATCAATAGGAGAACAGGAAAAGAAATATGATTTTAGGCGGATAATTGCGAGTCGAGGGGGAGAGAATCATCGAATCATGCAATTATGCGGGGAAAGCAAGGGGAATCATTAATTGGGGTAGTTTTTAGACGAATAATCATTGATGGTGGCACAGAATTTCATCATTTTCTTGTTGTTTCTGGGGGCTTTCGTCGACTAGTCGTCGGCTGCGTCTGTGTCCACGTCCTCATTCAGCATGGAGAATTTGTTGGAAGCAACAAAGTTCTGAAATTGACAAAAATTAATTAATTGACGAAGGAAATCGATTGATTAGAATTTTTCTCGAGGATTCTTACTGGAGCTTGCTCATCTGAAGCCTTTGGCATTGGTGGCTCCTCTCTGTCTTCACGTTCGCGCTCTTTTTCTCTGTCTCTGCGGTCCCTGATGACAAAACGACAATTATCATCAATTAATTAACGAATAATTAATAAATTCTCATCTAAATGAATTCTTTTCTTATTTTTAGGATTATCTCAGTAACGCGTGGGTTTAGGAGAAAATGTCAGAAGAAATTTCTTTTAGGAAATTTAATTTTCTACAAAAAATGTCTTATGACATTTTCTCTTAAACCTCGTAATTAGAGAGATTTTCCCAATTTTCGATTACCAAAATTTTGTCATTTTCCTAATTTTCATTATTTTAGTAATTAACTAATTATTTCTGTCATGAAACTTAATAAAAATGTAAAAAAATATTTTTTGGACAGAATTTAATTCGTTGCATAAGATATCTCCCAAAATTAATTAATTACACATTGTGGAAAAAAAATTGTATTCTCACTTTTCTGGTGGTCCACGAGAATCATTGTATCTTCCAGCAGGTCTTGCACTTGTTCCCCCAGTTCGCGAGGTCGGTGGGCCCCTGGAGTCCCCGCGATGATCTCTCTCTGTTGACAAATAACGAAATAAAAAAAAAATTGATTGGTTATTGCACCTCGTGGGAAATTTAAAGAGTGAATGAGCAATTCAGGTGATAGCTCACCAGAACGACCAGACAATTGAGACCGAGGACCTTGGCGTTTGTCGATGTGCCTACCTCTGTCTGCTCTATCTTCATCTGAACGCCACGTTGGTCGGGGTTTATCTTTCTCGCGTTCAGAACGTCCATCCTTAAAGAAAACCCATCATTAACCAATCGTTCTACAAAACCAAGACAATTGAAACAAAAATGACTCCACAATTTTGCAAGTATCTCCAAAACTATTGGTTTTTGAAAAAAATGTCAGAGGAACTTTTTTTAGAGCATGAAATTCTCCACAAAAAAGGTCCTGTGACAATTTTCGCTAAACCTCTTCGTTCCAAAGATATTCACGACATAAAATTTATAGAAACATTTTAATCGTTTCCCTTGGAAATTTAATTAAGTTGAGAGGTGATTAATTAATGAAATTGTCTTTACCCCATTGCGTCTTGTCCAAGCTTGCGGCTTGGATTCCCTGCAAATGGAAAACACTTCAATTAAAAATGATTTAAGACAAGAAAATATGGAGTAAAGGGTAGTTGACTGAAAAAAAAGGATTTTTTTTTTTGAGATTGAGTTTTCTCACCCTTCCTCTGATTTAGGCTTCTCTGCTTGGCTCTTGGCGAGACGTTCCTCAATCTCACGTTCCCTAGCAGTGGTGTCTACTGGTTTAGCAGCTCCAAAGATATTAGTAGCTGGTTTGGGCTCTGGTTTATCAACGACTTCAGCCTTCGGTAGAGGTGCAAATTTCTCCTCTTTGACGATAGTCTCGATTGGTTTAGTGCGCGGGAGAAGATTCAGAGTAGGTCGTGTACGTGGCTCACTAGCTGGTGCTATTACCCAAAGGCAAATTAAATAATTAACCCATGAAAAATTCTAAAAATCTCAAGAATTTTATTTTTCTTCAATTTTCTCTCAATTGATTGCACAAATTGTGCTGTCTCTGTAATTATTGATTTCAAGACAAAATGTCAGGAGAGTTTCATTGAAATGAATGAAAAATTCTCAATGAAAAATGTCTGAACATTTTTTTCCTCAAGTTATTTATCAACGGTTGAAAACATGAATTAATTTTTTGTCGTGGATCAACTCTATGCAACTCCTATTCTTCAGAATTTTTATCCCGCATTTTTAACTGATGAACAAACAATTGAACGTGATTTTTTTTCTCCTGGAAAATGAACTGAATTCCCTTGGCGACAAACTTGAAATGATTCAAATTAATGAATTAACCAGGTCACCATAAATTGTCTATTTATCAACCTTAAAAAGGCAAGTCAAAAGCATTCATTTTGCCCCCCCCCCAATCATCCATAATAATCAACCCCAAATAACCAATAGTGATAATTAGATAGTATACAACTCCATTTTATCATATTTACTGACACGAATGGGAGAGTCGAGCAAAAACAGTGGGTCAAAATGAAACAGTCAAAAAACGACTGTTTGACCTAATTCAAGCAAAAAAAAATGTATTAAATTTTTTAATTTCAAATTAAAAATGTAAAAAAAAAATTTTTATTATTTTTAAATTAAAATTTTTTTGTCAACTTTTTTTACTCTTAGGAGTACTAACGAGAATAATAATGTTGCATTCAGTAGAATGGCAGCAACTCACCCTCGTCACGTTCTGGAAATCGTTCTCGATCATTGCGTCGTGGTGGGAACGAAGTGAGTCCACCAGTGTTGGTCTCCCTCGACCAGTCACGTTCCTTCTCCTCCCTGTCGCCGCCGTACCCCCTGCGTTCCCCATCCCCAAATCCCCTGCGTTCTCCATCCCCAAATCCCCTGCGTTCTCCATCACCGAACCCCCTGCGTTCCCCATCCCCAAATCCCCTGCGTTCCCCATCCCCAAATCCCCTGCGTTCCCCATCCCCAAATCCCTTGCGTTCTCCATCCCCGAACCCCCTGCGTTCACCTCGATTATCATCTCTGAAGGTTCTCCTCTCCCCGAAAGCCGAGGTACTGCGATCTCCCTCCCTCCACCCCCCAGGCTTGTTATCACTGTCGCTCCTCCCCTCCCTGTCGTCCCTGTTATCAAATCCTCGAGAGCGAAAGCGGTCCTCACCCCCTGAGGGCTGCTCCCTGGGTGTGCTGCGCCAGTCCCCAGAGGTGCGCTCAGGATCGTCGTACCCGTCGCGACGATTGTCCCTCCCCATTCCCATTCTCCCCCCGCGACGATCGTCGTTACTTGAGTTGGAGACCTCGATTCTGACGCGTCTCGTTTTTATCATCGTGTTGGAGAGGTTCAGGGCCTCGATCAGGGAGGCACGGTCGTCGAACTCCACGTAGCCGTAGCCACGGGGCTTCGTGGAGTCCTTGGGGAGACGAACGTTCGTCACCTGGGGGTGAGCAATGATTTTTTAGTCAGGGCTTTGGCTGAGGGGAGCTAGACTGCTGGATATTTCTTGACGTTTCAGGCACGACAGCTGAATTTACCAGGGTGGGGGTGGAATTCCGTTGCAAAGGGAAGCGTTCACTACATTTTTTATTCTCATCTTGAAAATTCGAGAAAATTGCAGTTTTCGAGGTAAACTATCAATGATTTTTCAATGAATCTTGAATTTCCAAAGTTAGGGGAAAATTGAATGTGATATACAATTCAATTTTCAATGGATTGGGAATTCAGAAAAGTTTTTGCCTGAATTCTCAAAATTTTCAGGGCTTTTGAAACTTCTAAGAAAATTAATTGATTCGTCAATGTAGGGGAGGGTGGGGTAAAATGGACACTTAAGACTTTTAAAATTATTCATAACTCAAAAATAAATTTATCAATTGAGCTCAGTTTAGGCTCGTCACAAAGGGAAAGAATTGTTCTTTGTATTGAAAAAAAAAAATTATTAGATTTCATCAACATTTCAACTCCTCATTAAAATTTTAAAAAAAGTCGAGTGTCCATTTTACCCCAACCTCCCCTACACAAATTTCATGGAACTTTGTCGTTGTTAAAAATTTCAAGCTGTTCCACCTGAAACTTCAAGAGTAATTTTCTAATAGTGTAGACTGAAGCGGTTTTGGTTGAAAAAAAATTTCAAGATGAAAATTCGGAATATCGAAATTTTTGTATCTGCCTTAGATTCCGAGATATTCGTTAAAAATTGAGGAATAGTCGAAACTTGAATTTTTTGATTGCCTCGAATGCTGAATTACATCCGCCCTCACGAAGTTTCGGGCGAAGTAAACGATGTTTTTCGTTTTCTGTGAGATATTTTACTGTTGATAATTTTCAACTTGCGATTTTTTTGGTTCAAACAAGACATGTTTGAAATATGAAATATGAAGAAATATTTACCTGCATCTCAGCGAAGAAGTCAGCAAGGTCGTCCTCGATGACGTCGTAAGGCAGATTTGAGACGTAAGCTACGAAGGGTGGACTCGTAGGTATGTTCTCATCGTCACACCCTGGGCCACGAGCGGCTCTGGGAGCAGTTGGAAGCACGATTGGCTCCTTGCTACTGCGTGAGTGATAACCGTCTGAAAATCCATAAAAAAACGCGATTAAATATGGAAATAAAATTGGTTAGATGGAAATAAAATTGATTAAATATGGAGAGTGGGGCAAAGTGGAGTATTTTGATCGATTTTAATTGTTAACATGATATTTAACAATAATTTCTCAAAAATAGTTTCGCTAGTTAAATCTCAAAAATAGTTTTTTCCCAAGTTAATGTCAAAACCTCATTTTTTGAGATGACAAAATTCCCCATAAAAAACCTCTAATCTCCCTAGAACTCCTCCCCCTTGGAAACCCCCAACAAACATCAAAAGTGGAATTTCTAACGAGTCACATCCACCAAAATTCCCCATTCATTAAATCCGCCCCCATCTCAAAAACTAGTTTTCCCCCAAATTGATCCCAAATTGAAATATTTAATGACTCATATTCATAAATAATTCCCCATTAAATTTTTCCATATAAAAAAAAATATTATTTTCCCCAAATTAACTTCAAAACCTCTTTTTCAAAGATGACGAAATTTCCCATTAAAAAACCCCTCCAACAATCCCCCCTCCTCTTCCCCTCCCCCTCAAAAAATTCCCTCCCCGAAGTCCCTCAAAACTAATATCCGAAGTTTTTCACCTCAAAAAGCACAAATATCCAACATACCATGCTCATCCTCGACATCATCAGCCCAACTGGTAGACTTGAGTGGAATAGTGGGTGCACCTCCATTGCTAGCGAGAAACTCTGTCAATGCGACAGTCTGCATCTTCGCTTTTTTCCCCTTCTTGCCTATCACCAGGGATGAAAACAAATAAATTAGCCTGGAGCCCTGGCCTCTGGGTGGCCACCACCGCCAACAGCATTTTCCAAGCATAAATGAAATGAAATGCTGGCAGCATGTCCAACATCTCGAGGTGAGTTTGGTTATGTCTGTTCAGTGGCACCTCGAGACGTCCAACAAATGCCCAAACACTCGTCCATTATCGCCAAAGTCAATGTATTTCTACTCACGTGAAGCCATTCTGCTGATTTTACTTATCAAACAGTCACGTTGATCAGGATCCCCAGTGGAGAGGGTGGGTGCAGGTGTACACCACACCACACGATCAAACGTTTCGGGATGAGAGAAACTTTTTTTTCTCCGAGGGTGAAAAAAAACGAACGATTTCAGACGCCAATCTGAGGGAAATTAATTTTCCTAGATTGTTAGGAGGGGTTTGGGGAATTCTAGGGAGTTTTTTGGGGGGGTGTTGGCGGGGAGTGGGGATTGGTGGGAAGTTGGGACGTGTAATGATCCGCGGGGGCTGATTGGTCGAGTGAGTCGACGAGAATTTGAATATTTTGTTTTGAGATTTTTGAGCTGCAAGTTTTTCTGGGGGGTTTTTAGTGAAGGATCTCAATTCATTTTTTTGTTGGAAAATTAATTTTCTGGAGGTGTTTTCGAGAGTTTTTGGTTTTTTATCCCGTGAGTATGGTCTAGGGGATTTCTGGGAAACGTGAAATCTTCCTAGATGAGTGTTTGACACTAAAGTTTGATAAAATGTCAATTAATTTCCTGAACTTGTGATTTTTCTCGCACAACAGATCACTAGTTTGATAAATCATCACAATTGGAAAGTTCATTTGCAGACCCTCGTTTTTCGCGGCGAAACCATCCTTACCCACGTGACCCCACTAGGGAATTTCGGATAAACACTAAATGTCCCTAGACGGTATTTGCCACTAGAGAATAGAAGAAAAAATGAGGGAAGGGGAGAAGTCAACATTTTTCACCCCCTCTCGATAATCTCCCAGAAAGGCTAAGATAAATCCCAAGAATTTTCACTTATTGTGAGTTATAAGTGGGTCAAGCAATTGATGATTGGATCCCATGAGTCAATCGAGTCGCCAATTTATCGAGTGATCTAACAGGCTAATTCAATCGACTACCAATTAATTTCCCAAAACTTGTGATTTTTCTCGCACTCTGAACTCGTGAATTCATTGATATCTCGTAACAACAGATCACCAATTTGATAATGCGATTGATAAATCATCAGAATCGGAAAGTTCATTTGCAGACCCTTTCGTTTTTCGCGGGGAAACCATCCTTACCCACGTGACCCCACTAGGGAATTTCTGATAAACACGAAATGTCCCTAGACGGTATTTGCCACTAGAGAATAGAAGAAAAAATGAGGGAAGGGGAGAAGTCAACATTTTTCACCCCCTCTCGATAATCTCCCAGAAAGGCTAAGATAAATCCCAAGAATTTTCACTTATTGTGAGTTATAAGTGGGTCAAGCAATTGATGATTGGATCCCATGAGTCAATCGAGTCGGCAATTTATCGAGTGATCTAACGGGTTAATTCAATCGACTACCAATTAATTTCCCAAAACTTGTGATTTTTCTCGCACTTTGAACTCGTGAATCATGGGCCTAGGCATTGGTATCTCGTCATGATTGTGACCATTAGACGTGGAATTATTTGACAATCGAGATTGTCGGTAGGACAGGGGGAATGGCACGTGGAAGTGATAGGTCTTGAGGTACTTACGATTTGTGGAAAATATGAGGATGGACTCTGGTCGGGTGGCGGGTGGACGCACGAGGGGATCCAACGACTTCAGGGTCAACAGATGACTCGATGAAATACAGTGGCAATTACGTGATTTCAACGATTTCGTTGGAATATCCGAGGGAGAGAATATGGGACAGTCTCACAGTGCTGATGGAAGGTACAAGCTGAGGAGACCCAGCTTCAAGCAAATTGCCATGGGGAAGAGGCGGATTAATAACTCGAAAAATTTGTCGCATACCTTTTCATTTCCGGATGAAGCAATTAAGGTATTGCTCTTTCATTAATGTCTAACGAGAATGAGAGTGAGAATGCAATTTTCGAATTCATCGCGATAAAATGAAGGCTGAAATGCTCGTTTGAAGTTCATTATTTTGTATGAAAAATGGGTGAATAAAAAATGGTAAATTGATTGGTAATACGGATCTGTAAATTTTTCCATTGATCAGATAATCGTCAATCTTCCAAACTAGATTATTGATGAACAAAATAATTCGGAATTTGAATATTTAAATTGACGATTACTTCAATAATTAAAGATTCAAGAGTGATATTAACGAATTGACTACTTCAAAATTTAACGGTAATTATAATTTGATTATGGCTATCCCTGATTTCAAATAGTATTTCACGAAATACTGAAACGAGATATTTTCGTGAGGACGAGAGCTGCATGAAAGGTCTCCCCAAAAATTTCACCACTCTCATCGAATAACTGTATATCCACCGAGAACAGCGAGTTCCCCCCTTCCCTACTGACTTTAATTTATAATTAATTTCAGCCACAACAATTGAACATCAACACAGCTACCGAGGAGGAGCTCATGACACTGCCTGGTATAACTCGAAATATAGCAGTAAATATTGTCAGCCATAGAAGATTAATAGGTAGATTCAATAGAATTGAAGATGTTGCTCTAGTATCCGGAGTTGGTGCCCAAAAATTGGAGAATATTAAATTAGAAGTTTACGTTACATCAGTCAATGGCAGTGGCACATCCTCAAGGGCCTCAACAACATTAGACTCAATGGGAAATACCGAGAGCCCCGTTGATGTCAACTTGGCGAGTGTTTTTGATTTGCAGACACTACCTGGTGTCGATCAGGTAATTCATCATTCTGTTCTACTTATTAGTGACCCAGCATTTTAGTTGATGTATAACTTCCTTCCCCCCCCCCCCCC